ATTTTTATATTCGGTTAATAAATAGTTGGATGTCAAAAATTTCTGAACAATACGAGTAGATCTGTCCGTTTTGTACGCACTTCAATAATTATTATCAAATCCACCTAAATATTTATATAAAATAATTAAAAAAAAAAAAACACACACATTATTTATAGTTCACATATCTTTGAAACCAGCGTCACAATAGCAGGCGATTATGCGAGTTTAACGAAACCCCAGTGGGCCACTGATAAGTCATCTCAAAGACGAGCTGAATGGTATTTAATATTATTGATAATTACCGAATAGTGAACGGTACTTGTTGAAGGATTTTCGGAACGTGGATCACATAAAATATTGACATGTATAGTGGCGTTAGGGGTCATTTCCTCCCTCTACCTTTGGTTTATGACACGACAGATATGAGTATTTATGTAGAAGGCAATTAAATCTTAAAAACTATATAATTCAGCCACGTTATACAAGGTAAAGTCTGATTTATTGATCACATATTATTGATTTTTTTTTTTTTTTGATGTTTCTGGTTTTCGATTCCCACTGGATAATTAAAACGAAGATTCTACGATTTATGTATGATTAATAATTGCTATATCCCCTCCCATCGAACGATTCAAGGAATATCCACTAAGCTAGCACCCCCATCAAAATTATATAGTTACGGTGTTGATCGGAACAGAAAAACTGGACATTTTGTGAGAAACATTATACAAGTTTATTATAAATTATATTGTATACGGACACGAGTTTTTATGGGTAATTTTAATGAAATTTTTAATAAAAAAAAAATAGAAATCGAGAAAGTTTTGACTCAGGCACATACAATTTAACTTTTAAACAATGACTTTCACTTTTCACAATATCTGTGGTTGACTACACTGTGAATGTAAATAATCGATTTTTTTTTTCAAGACTTTTTTTCAATCTTCATTCTTGGGTATTTTTCAAGTTTATTGTAACATCATTCCACGTGAATTTCCTCTAATGTTTAGCGTTAATGGTTTTTTTCTGTAAACGGACGTTTTTAAACGTGAATCGGGTCTTCGTCATTTAAATAATATAAGAAAAAAAAAAATAGGCATCAGATCACTCGCGCTTTATTTTCATTGATATCCGGTCGGAGGAGACGGGCGGTGAGACGGGGTGGACCGGAAATGCGACAACGAGAAAGGTAGTGTTTCTTTTTTTTTTTTTTTTCATTTCCGATTTGATTATTCCGGGTACGTGTGTATTTATTAAGTCGGTTCGGAGAAACAGGGCCGCCGCCGTGGGACTCCTCCGATTGATTGCGAAGACCGGCCGATAATATAACGAGGAGGAAAGTCGTCGACGTCGTCGTCGTCGTCTCGCAGTTTCGGCTCTGAGACGGATAATAATTAATCACGGGCGCGACTCTTGGTGGCGGTGGCGGCGGCGGCGGCGGCTCGGTGTTGGCGAAACCCTATCCGGCCGATTAATCGACATTACCGTCCCGACGATTTGTTTCCGTCCGCTGTATATCCGCTGTAGTTCACCAACCCCCACCCAACACTTCCCCTACACCTCCGCCTCTCGTTGTACCGTGTCGTTCCGCGCCGGAAGTCCGTCCGGATATACAAAGGACCGGCAATTAAAACGGATTAAAACACTATCGGGAGCCGTAGTATGGTACGAGAGAGCATTTAGATATTCCACGCGGTGGTATAAATCCGTACGATGAACGACGTCGCGTGCTGCGAGCGACGGCCGACGATTATTACTGTAAAATCGCACGCGAAAAATTAACAACCGTCCGTAAATCTCCGCAGAGGCGGCTCTCGTTCGATTTCGTATATAAGAAAACCCGGAGGACCAATCAATTATTATAGAAACGAACGCAATAGCTTTTCGAAAAATAAGATCCAGCGGTATTATACGCACGTATGAAACATATTATATACAATAGGACGCAGTAATATCATTTTTACAATGAACCGCTAGGAGAAAATTATAGATATTTTAGCCTTTGAACGGAAACCTCGACGAAAATTCAGGAGTCCGCGGCAGAGCATTTTTTAAAGAGGTGTCCAAATTACACGGTAATTTTCATATAAGATTTGACACCAGTAGAGCAGAGTTTGTTATATTTAGGGGTCCACAAAGTGGCTGTGTATATTTTTTTTCTTCAAATAACTCTAAAATAAAAGATTTGGGTTTCTTCGGTGGTCTCAATCAAAACAAATAGCTATACCGATTCATTAAAAGACATCAAAGATAAAAACATGCTTATTGATCTGTCCTGTAATACATGGTCCCGGATTTCAAAGCAATATTACAGGTAGGTAATCAAAAGTTTTGATTGGATTCAAAACGGTTAAAACAACAGTATACCTAAGTCACACTGAAACTTTGATAAACTAAAAACAAAAAAAAAAAACAAAAAATCACTCGTCTGTATCGTGCATAACAACTATGTATTAACTAACTACTGAGTTTTAGTATGTTCATTAAAAAAAAATACATAATAATATATATTTTTTTATTGATTAGTGCCTATAATTTGTACCTTTAATTTGTAACTAAAAGGGTTGTACGATCCAGAAACAAATATAAACACCTTATAATAGTAGAGTTAAATTTTGCTTACTGTGTTTTCTAAAAAAAATGTGCGTTCGGTCAAATGCTTTTACATTGATATTGCAATTTATACAGTAAAAAATTGACAATTATTGTTTGTCGTTTTTCTAATGTGTGATTTTTTTGTTTTTGATGTAACCGATTTGCTAGTTAAAATTGTTGTGGTAATTTTGTGAAAAATGTTAAACAAATTACTATATGCCATATTCTCACACTGTTATATGATATTTAAGAAACGATCATTTAAAGAGAAAAAAAAATAAAAATAAAAACATCGTGTTTTAAAAACTGAAAAAATAAAATCATAATCATAATAAACGTCAGCGCAAAAACTAAAAGAGCTATGGTTACATATTATTCTACAGACCGAGTCGAAAACTAATAACCAAACTTTTTTGTTTTTTTTTTTTTTTTTTTTTTTTTTTTTGAAACGACAAAATATTGTTTTGACAAAAATCATCGAGCGTCGAGCTTTATTACTTTTCGAAACTAAAACAATTTATAGATTTCAAGGAACACGATATATTATCATATTATTATATTTGTATCGTACGGAATACCATCACGATGTCTGGAATTGGCTGGCATATGCGTAGCGTTTATAAGTACCAATCGTCACAATCATATATTTGGCATTTATTTTTTTCCAGAAAATATTTATTATAGTGATGTTGATCGATTACACCTGAACAAACTCGTATCGTAATTGTCAATCTTTGTTTTTAACAAACTAGCCCATTAGTTTTTAATGTGCAGGGCGACTATTTTTTCTTTTATCACGAATATGTCGAGATTTCGAGTTTTTTATTTTATTTTTTTTTTTTTTGTTAGTTATTGTGGACAATTGTTCAACGATATTGTTTATTAGATTTTTTAAAATTGACTATTCATCCCGTAAACAATAAACACATTGCATTTTTGTGATTTTCGAATAACTTCGACACACCCATATAATTTAAAAGCTCATTAAAAATTACATTTTTTTTCGTATTGAATTTAAAATAAAAGAGTTGATAACAGTTTAAAATTTAAACCGGAGAATAGGAATGTAGCTTTATCACCAAACATTGGACATGCAATTCATTTTTACCCTTCCTTAATCGCTCGGTATACACTTCAAACGGTTTTTTGACTCGTACACAGTGCATTGTCTTATACGAGTAGCGTTATTATAACAATACGCGTGGTAGACATTTTTATGAAAATATGATTCTGTGTTTGAGAGGGGAGAGGGGAAGGGCATATTGTCATTTAAAAATCAAAATACTCGTGTTATTTTACGGTATACGGAATAAAGGAGGCAACACGGAAAATGTGTTAAAATATCGATTAAACGATATCCCATGCAATGATTGAAAAAATGTTCAAATTGTATTCGCCTGTACTTATAAGAACTATTTTCCGAGAAATTCGCAGGATTATGATTAAAAAAAGAAAATCCTACGTTCCGGGATTATGTTTTATAATTATATTACAAATTCGTTTATAATAATACATAGATGATGCATGTCGCGTTATAATGAATATCGATTCGGTTTAATATCCGGAATAACATCACTAATTATATAATAACGCGGATTTTAATCGCCCGATTTGTGTTTTAATCTGCTTTACGGCACGAGTATAATAATAATAATAATTTTATCCAAAAATCCGATATTTACGTTTATTTTTACACTAGTACAATAAGTACATAACTTTTTTTTAAATTTTATTTATTTATATTTGGCATTAAACCGGGATTATCTATGTGTGTGGGGTGTACCACACACGACTAAAAATTTCATAACGTTACGACTGGTGTATGAACAAGCACTGAACGCCATTTCGGGTTATAAATCATTTAGTTTTAATGAATAATCATAATTCCAAGATTATTAGAGAAAAATCACGAGTGACACAAAAGCCGATAATTATTGTTTTCGTATTTCGATTTACGAGTGCGCGCTTTGTGTGTTACTCGCACTACTCGTATATTCGATATCAGTATCGTATTTTTGAGAGATTTTCCTTAATTTTGATTTTCAGATATCAATATTATTATAATTACTCGGGAACCGGTGATAATCTATTCAATATTTACTCGGCTTCTTATGGCAAAACCGTTTTGTTCGTTTATTTTTATAGTAGGCATTTATGAAAAGATAATCAAACACTTGTAAGCAGCTGAGCTCCATTACTATAGTCGGATATTCACCCGGCCGAATTTTTCAGTTAACAAATACAATTAACCTCACCTATATTGCATTAATTTGCATTTATTTGTGATTTGTGTTCACTAAAAACACGTTGATCATACAATCCCATTCGTCCGGCTTATAATATCTCGATCTGCTACTATACCACCACTCTCCCCGTCCAGGGATTAAACATATCATTCGACTACTATCCAGTAATGACAACGAATCGAACGAAAAAAATGTTCATCAAAAAAGGTAAAATTTTTCTAGAAATTTTGCTAACATATAAGTAGACGTGGAGTGGTGGCGATAGAAATTTAAACTTTCCAAAGGCATATCCTTAACAATCCTATTAACACGTGACTTTTTTAGTATGAAAACAGTTAGGTGGGGGCGTTGAAATTTAAAATCCCCGAAACGCATTGCCTTGATGAGTACACCGCGAATAATATCCGAAATTGTATTCGCCCGACTTTATTGGGGGAGTGAGAGACGATGTCGGGGTTGTGCCGAAATGAAAAAAAAAAAAAGCCACCCGTTACCGTAACAACACGGTCGAATTGCTGAGAACGGACCGATAACGTTATCGGCGACTACGACTATTGCAATGATGCAACTTGTATAACAATATATACATTGCGACGTTTTGAAATACACTCATGCAATTCGTTACGCCCGTTTGAATTTCCGCCGAGTAGTTATTAGAATAGTTATTCCTCGAGATAGGTCTGTATAAAAAAAAAAAATGAATAATCATATGTATATGTCTAATCTATTTTATAATTTTTTTTTTTGTCAACGAAAAAACAATTGAAATACCGTAGGTACGCACACGTGTATTCGATCGGTACTGGAATTAAACTGGCACGACCAACGGGACTTTGGCATACAAATTTATTTAAGTACATTGCGCTATAACGTGTTCGTAAATAATTTATATTAATATTTCATCAGAGGAAAAACCAAACACTCTAAACGCAAACATATTGTATTTTATTGTCGAACACTGAAAATTACATTATTGATCTTTCGCAAACAAACATTTCTATAATATCATACACGATACAATAATTATTATGTAGAACACGATTTTAAAATATTGACGTATATTATTATAGATAGGTAATAATTCATTTTTAATTTATTCGCAACTTTCGCAAAAGTTACGAAATTGGAGTGAACCGGAAGAATATTAAAGATACGTAGAAACGAGTTATGAGTATGAAACACGTAGTTACAGTCGAATTTTAAAACTTGTACGGAGAACGCAATTTAAAACGACTATAAATTTAGATGCAGTCTAGCGACGATGCAAATAATATCATCGTAGAAATTTATTTTGTGAGTATTTTTATTAATTCACACGTTAATGATTATCAAAATTGCATACTGTGTTTGACTTACGTTATTCCATATTGCATACTGTATTTATTTTTTGATCTAATAAAGTATTACACAATTGTGAAGTATCGAAAAAAAAAGGGGTGTCTAAATAATACAATACGTACATTATTTTAGATATTTTTACGAGAATATTGACGATTTCCGACGTAAATTTGAAAAAAAAAAAAAAAAAAAATCATAATTTTCGGAAAAAAATAATTGCAAATGAAATTTGTCGAGTATATCTCTAATGACGGCGACAACATAGATAAGAATTAATCATTTTATCGGAAGTATTATTGGTAAAAACTAAAAGTGTGTATTATTTTCAAATTGTGTCTTTCGATGGAGAGTGAACTGACAATAATATTAAACAATAACGACATTTGAAAGTAAGTTGCTGCAAAATAGTACATATTTTCGTGACGAATAAAATAATACGTTAGGTTATCGACTGACGATAATAAATCGTTAAAGCGTTATGGACATACGAGTAAAGCGCGTTATTATAGGTACGCGCAATTCGAATTGATTATTTTTTAATAATAATTAATCTACTAAATATAATGTACTTAATTAAACGCCCGAGCGTATAATTTTAGTTAATTTGATAGGTGGAGGTACCAGACTACCTATATATATATATATATATATACAGTAAAACCCAAAACATGGTGGTGCAGTGACGTACAAAATAATCACTTATCGTTAAATTATTATCATAATATTCGACCGGCGACGAGGATAACTTGTAAATGCAAAACGAACGTCAAACACGTCAAAAATATTATTAAACAAAATTATACCATTTTATTGCGTACGAAATTATGGGTTTTATTATTATTGTATCTTAAAAAAAAAAAAAAATACATTAGGACTTTGTGTTGCAATATAATATAATTGCACCTATATAGCTGTAAATTGAACGCACTAAAAAAATTGTTAAAGAAAACTCGTACAAAAAGCTGCTCAAAATGCACCTAAAATACGCTCTAGTGAAACAACGAATAACCAAAAATCATAACAACTATTATACAATATTGCACTTATAGTTATACTGCTTCTAGAAAAAATTGGAAATTTCATCATAAACATGGTAGGAATAAAGGTTGAAAGTTGAAATCCAAACAAGCACCGCACACCAGTGCATACTAATGTCGTTCACATACTCATCATACGTGATGCAATAAATCATGAAAAATGAATAAATACATTTAAATATTTTTTATCTCTGTAGGGCTGGACAGAGTTGAATTCGAATTAATTTCCATTAGTTCAGTTCACAAAAAGATAAAAAAAACTCTTATTCTCGAGTATTCACTGATACGGCCCAGAGGAAAATGGGGTACAAATATTTGAAGTTATTGAAAGTAAAAAAAAAAAAAAAATAATAAAAAAACGATTTGAAAACTGGGCAGGTATATAGATATAATTTGAACTGGTGTACTGACACATAGATGTAAGACTCGCAAAAAGCTATTAAAAAAAAAAAAAAAAAAAAACAACGCATATGCTAAAAATTTGCAGGCGGCAGTAAATATAATAATTTTTTATTTTAAATTCCGGCGAAGCAGAATGTATTTATTTCATTTGTGTAAACAACTTTAATACCAGGAGTCTTGCTTCATTCAAACACTTTATTTGCTTTCTTGTACGACTTTGTATCGATTTGGTTCATTTGGGATATTATTTTTATTTTTCTCTCGTAGAAGCTGTTGAACTAAATGAACGGAAAAAACTAGCAATTTCGATTTAATTTCGTGCCCATCAGTGTGTTACCTCAGTAACAGGGGAAAAATACGTCCAATGACATTCTGCTCAGATGCGTTTTCCGTAAACAATCGTATACATTCGTTGCGCGCACACATAAATCAAATCGATTTCTCCATATAGTCCTGATCCCGAGTTCTCTGCTGAAACAGAGGCATGCCCATAAGCAGCGTCGGTATTGTTTTTATTATTACTATTTGTCTAGTCTAAATAGCATAAATGTGTAGTGCGGTGGCTCAGATGTATTCACCGTGTGCATGCGAGTGTTTGCACCGAATCAATGTAAAATCCAATACGACTACAGGTTATACCCCAGGGACGGGTACACGGAATTCGGTGCGTATGTATGTACGTTACGGCCACCGCGGAGACGTGTAGTATAAGATCGAGTGAGTGCGGCGACGGAGGGGGAGAAAACCGGCGGCTGACGCGCTACGGAGAGGGGGATAGTGACGGCGGCGGCGTTGGTGGCGTGGGAGATTGTTGGAATAAGAGAAAAGCTTAATGACAAAGACAGTGTTCGCCGGGCTTATACGAGTATGTGTGTGTGTGTGTGTGTGTATATATATGTACAAAGGAAACCGAGTCCCGGGTCTAAGTCTTTTAAAATTAATGCAGTTCTAAACCGCCGCGCGAGATTTTCAAATTTAATGGTCTCGCTAGCTAGCTAGCTAGCTAGTGTAGCGAATGTACCCCAGAGTTCAAGGGATCTTTTTTTTTTTTTTTTCTTTCTTTCTTTTTTTGTGTTAAACAATTTATTGGGAAGTATCTATATATGTAATCTGGTCTCTTGAAAACAAATTACGACGACTCCGCGTTCGGTTTGTTTGTGTATCGCCCATGATCTGTATTCGGAGACATCGAGACGAGACGAGACATCGGACAACTTAATGCGCGCTGCGAGAAACGGCGAAACGGTATGAAAAAAAAAAAAAATAAATAAATAAATAAATAATAAAACAGTTCGGGTCGGATGAATTACTACACCGCTACTACTGCATACTATTATTATATATTTACTTTAACGTCAAAAAAAAAAAAACTACTTTTTTTTTTTAACTAGTCGTAAACAAAGTATATTGGTATAAGGAAAACGTGTATCCCGTTTAGACAAAATACAATTTTATGAAATTTAAGCGATAAAAAAATCGTCGGATAATCGTAATATTATTATATTTTTCTATCGCTGGGTAATATAATATGCTAAACGCTGCGCGCTGAACTTTTATATAAGTGTAATATTTTTCGCCATATGTCACACGCGTGTATTATGCAATATTTTATGTACCTAATATAAAATACTGTCACTAATGCGCGTTCGATATACAGTAATTTACGACGACGGAGTAAAATTGTTTTTTTTTTTTTTCGAAAATATTCATACATACGTATTATATATGATTATAACAAAATAAAAATATATATTTTCTAACATTCTGCAGACTCCGGGGATAAACTGTTGCGGCGCTCGATATCGATTGGATATTAATCTTCCGGTCGTGTCGCATGCGATATGCTGCGAAGAGAATTTTCATTTTTTCTAATAATTTGGTTCGCGTTTTCAGACGTGCTTATTACGTGCGAAAAAATGAAAACCGACCGTTTACGTGCACCGCGGGTAGGTCTGCACTGGTTTGTTTGTGACACGGGAAGTGTCAACACACGACACAACGCAGTTTATATAAGTAAAATAAACTGAAACCTAATAGCAATCAAAAATCGGTTCCAAGCAAAGTTCGTGGAACTGTAAGTTAGGTAAGGTTAAGATAACTACTCAGATGTCAAAAATTTGAGTATGCCAGCCCGGGTTCGAAATTCCAGATATTTTTGTGCTTCGATTCCTAAAAGCATAAAAACTCTGCCCGACAGATTGTAGAATCCGGATAGGATCATGGTCCGTAATAGGCGATTGTAGTCAAAAATCGTCTAAGTCGGTATGCAGACCCATGACATGTTTTAAAGTAGGGAATTTCGATAATTTTTGTCGATTTATGTTTCTCCCGCATGGGTATACCAACACCACTTCTGATGACAGCACGTCGCGAATATTATTCTTTTTTTTACGCGTGTCTCATCAAAAGCCGAGACAGAAATTCATCTCCGTTTCAGAGAGTGGCGGGTCAGTATTATATAAGGAAAAAAAAAAAAAAAAAATAACGAAATTGTACACAATCGTCACGGTCGGGGGCTTGGTCGAGGCCAGCCCCGCGATGACGACGACCAAACGGGCGCGATGGTGGTGACGACGACGGTGTGTATCGACCGGACAGAACCACCGCCTCTGCCACTGTCATAGCCGTCACATCGACGGATTCATCTCTACGGGCCCCCGAAAAAAAAGTCTCAAATGACGCCGACCGTGATACGTTGGCTGTCGTCCGCATCTTCGGCCGAATAATGTAAACCTAATAATAATATATTATGAAAACCGATGGTAGATCCGATGTAACCATAAAAATTGGCTCCCTCCCGGTAGATTAGATTAAAAGAGGGGGGGGGGAGGGAAAAATATCACGGCAGACAATATTTAATGGCATACAGCCGTTAACGAAATTCGATTTAGGGATGTGTTGACTTTGGACAATACTCACAATTTGAATGCCTTAATAATAACAAATAAATGTATTTATTTTTTCGTCCTTTGATCATTATACCAATACTAATAATTAATCTAATGATTAAAATATAACGGTAACCGCGTAATAAAACAGATACAAAAAAAAAAAAAAACTTAAGAAATTTAGTTTAAAATTAAAATTAATTAACCGTTGAATAGTCGACTCTGTTGTCTAAATGTCCACGTTTTATGGAGTCATATCCCCGCACATGCAACTCACACACATCGTAGGCTTTGCCCGAATGAAAAATACGAGGGGCTTCTATAATATAAATACTATTGTGCAGTGTACAGTCTCCAAACTGAGGGAGCTGGAGATTTTGTTTTGTTTTTTGACACGTTTTAAGTAGGGAGAAACGAATTTTAAGTCACTTTTGCGTTTAACTTATTTTTTACTGTTAAAATCTCAGTCCTGGTTACACTAATATTATTGTTGTGTAAATTCTGAAGGAACGATAGGCTGCGATTGTTAAACTGTACGGAGTCGACTGTACTCATTTATCACATGCAGAAATACAAACTAAGAGTCATTGAAAATTATCAATATTCCACGGAATAGTGTTAGTATTTCTAGTTCTTCGCCTATTTAGAAATAATAGAACACCGACCGTTTTTTTCAAAAAGGGAAAATAACAAGGGTACCGTTTTATTTAATGCATCCGAGTACTGTACAATAGTAATATATTAAATAAAGTAATAACTATAGTAAATAAATATATAAACACAAATTTATATTTAAAAATAAAATAAATAAACGAATCTATGCATCGCCTGAAGTATTATGATAAGTACGTTATACGACCGGTTGCGAATTAAAAATTCATCATCTGGTATATCACAGACAAAATGTTAAACGTGACTCCAGGTGACTCATTGATTCATTTATTTATTTTATTTTAGTTTGTGATTGTAACGAAGAATGTATTGGTTTTACTAAGATTATATTATTTTTTTAATCCTATGTACGAAAATTCGACCATAAATCTTGTTCAGATGAAAACACGCAGCACCATTTTTGAAAGAAAATGTTGTTTAGGTAGTAATTTCGGGAGGTTTTTTATTAATTTTCCAAGTGGTTTTCAGAATATCTTGGAAAAACCAGGATAAGACGTAAAAAACGAAATAAACGAAGTTAATGCTTTTATTATTTTATACATTTTGTTATTTGTTATAATTCAGTTAAAAAAAATTCGTAGTGACTTGAAATTGACTTCACTTACATTTGCGTTTTCTAGACGTGGTAAAATTTTCAAAATATTTGAGACATTTTTGAGCTACTGATAGACATTTTAATTTTGCGAGTAAGTATGTAATTTTTATTCGGTAGGTACTCCGTGGTAAAATTGTTAAACTTAACAGAAATGCTTGAAAATTTAATAGGAAGTTTATTAAATTATACTTTTCGGTAAAAAAAAAAATTGAGTTAAATATAGTATTTTTTTTTTATAAAGGAATTTCGATACTGCATTTTGGTGAAAATTGTTTGAGTAAAAGATTATGTGAACAAATTTAATTTTTCATTTTTTTTTTTTTTCAAAACAGGTCTATTGTTGATTTAAGAAGGATGGTAAAGTCGAAATTGAGTAGACTGTCTAAGTTTCGAAATTATAGCTTTTTGAAGTACAGATTTTACAGGTTTATGTTAAATAGCTAAATAATAATTACGTTTTTTTTAAATATATATTTGTTGTAGTTGAATGGTCATGAATACATATTGGCATACTAGTGGTCGTGAGATTGAATCCGGGATTTTAGAAATTGTTTGCACTTTTTTATTCCTCTTTTATTTAAATAGGAAAGAAACAAATGCATTTTAAGTTTACCTAGAGACCTAGCTGTTGTCCGCTCGGACGATTATAAACGAAAAATATCCCTCGATTTGTTGTGCGAACTTTTCAACCAACTATTTTGGTCTGATTTACATTGATAGCACTTTTTATTTAAGTAAATCTGACTGGGAAGGTACTTCAAGGAGGTCATTTTTCGATTTTTCCGATATTTTTTTAAGCAAATGTGATAATCCGGGAAAAAACATGGAAAAACCGGGAAAATCGATACAATATTAAACAAATATTATTAAAGAAAAAACATGCCTATTTCATTATTTTACCATAGTATGATATGTGTATATATATATTGTTGACAAAGCATCATTATCAACTTGACTGCGCTCAGAATCTTTTTTTTTTTCGTTAGAAATGGTTTATCGTTGCTTACAGATATACATTAAATTACCTTTAACAGTGGTGGCTGCACCCGTCTCCATTTTCCTAGGACGTATTTTTTATACATATATTTATTTACTAAATGTATTACTTTATTTATTTACGAGTATTAACCATTTTAATAATTTTGTTTTTACTTTATTGTTTTATTAATAAGATATTGGTGACCAATGTTAATGGTTTCACTCTGTATACTATACTATAGTACCGAGTTATCGTCATTATTATTCCCCTTCTCTAGAGATTCCCGGTTTAATGTGGTATAGAATAAAAAAAAAAACCCGACCATTTAAAACGCCGCCGCTTGTCGACGATTTATTTATTTTTTCCTCCTACCCACCTATGACACTACCCTAACCCTGCCACTACTATGTTGGAGTGCTGAAAATTCTGTCACAGTCGATAATTAGCGAGCATTCCGCCACCGCCGCGGCCGCCGCCAATTCCCACGAGGCTTCTTTATACACCGGTTCACCGGCGCGTTGCAAATATTATAATAATTTGGTTATTAATTGCGTTCTATACAACGCTATTGTTCTTTCCACACAATTATTATTTCTAGGCTGTAGTAACATTATTTTACGCATCAATCGATTATAGGTTAAAATAATAATATTACACGCGAGTAAATCGAATATCGAAAATACGGACGGGACATGTCAGCTGACCAGTGAAGACCGAATTGTACAGTCACCAATAGTTTAGATGTTATTTCGTGCCTCATTTATTCGGCTCCGTGTGCGACTACGTACACAAACATATTTCGCTCGCTATCAGTTCGGCGCCGTAAAGATACAACGGTCTCAGCGGGTGCATATGCCCATTGTCCTTGTAATATGCATAACAATAGACGGTTTAGACTGATGTTTAAGTTTGACGCCAGCCACCATGTATGCGCGGTGGCGGTCAATGGTTACGCGATCATCTTATCAATACGGCTTGATAATAATACGATCTGAAACGGGTTTGTGGGGCTTGATGTTTATTTCGACCTCTCTCATTGATGACTGAACACAGATAATAAGAACGCTTACACGTTCAGTACATTAAGCGTGTAATGTCACGTTTATTATCTGTACTATTATAGCACAATAATTATTGATCCCCCCCCCTCCCTAAAGTCGCGCGGAATAAAATATAAGAACACGGAAAAAACAGCTTATTTCCCGCGTTTTCACATTCATCCTTCCTTCACAAGTTCAGGGATCTTATCATCCGTAATCATCTGGGGTCGTATTCTGTGTGATTTTTTCGAGTCACGGCCTTAAGCCTATTTTAAGGAACTCGGGCCTACAAAAAAAAAAAAAAAAAAAAACCATATATATATATAAATATGGGCCTCGGAAAAGCCGAGTACGGACCTGGAGATCGTTTAAATATTATATAGTTAAAGATCCGAAACATTAAAAATACCTTGTATATTATTTGTTTGCACACTAATACGTGTGGGTATACAAATAAAAAAATATTGATAAAATAATTAAGTAAAGAGAAAATCATTTGGTTAATACTCGTAAATAAATATATAAATAAAAATAAAATAAATAAATGAGTCAATGTGTCGCTTGGAGCATTGTGATAAGTATGTTATACGACCGGTTTCGAACTAAAAATTCATCATCGGGTTTATCACAGTCAAAATGTAAAACGCGATTTATTTTTAAACATACGTTTTTTTATTTTTATATTTATTCACTGTGTTTAAGAATACATTGTTTTATAAGTTACAAACGTAAAAAAAAAAAAAAAAGGACAAACGTTAATTATCAATCTTCGGATTTTATATTATTTAAGTACAGTCAGTAAGGAATGCGTTTTTAAACGACTAATTAAACAATAATCGACCGTTACATGCAGGGTAGCGTGAAACTGTTCAAGTAACGAACACAATAACAATATAATAACAATTCCCGCGGGGTCGTATCGTTCAACTCCGTATCGAGGGGTAGGAGGTTATTTACGGAGGTGTGAAAGAGGTGAAAAAATACTATTATACTTGGATTTTAGTCGTATATATAAAAAATACGTGAAACAATAATAATATCCTTTAATTGCATTATTATATTGTTACTGTGGTGTATTATTATAATAACTCTATCGCAGCGTAATAATATTGTAATTTAGATTATTACGTGTTTGTTGTATGCGCACGGATAGTAAAGGTATTACAATTGTTAAACGCACCTTATCTATGTGTGCCCAGAGATGTAATTATTGTAATTATTATTACTATTTTTTGTTGAAAATGCCAGAGAAACGCATCTAAACACACATGGTATGTTAGTGATTAAATCTTGAATTCGGGCCGGGGAATGAAATGTCTCTGAAAATATTACCAATACTCAGTGTCTTCAAATCTGAGCACTGAATCGTTATAATAATATAAATTACGGACAATTATTTCCGTTCGAAAATTGACTTTCATAGATACTAATAATATACTATACAATATATTCAAAGAGAACTACGATAATAGTTATTTGATTATAAAATATCGAAAATACTGATTGTGTTTCACAATGACAATTTCGACAAACGCAATAAATTTTGTTTTGTTTAATATTCATTTTTTTTTCGAATTCCTACTAACTGAAGAATTGCCCTATGATTCCTTCTTTTTTTTGTATTTTAATATTTTGTTTGAAACTAAAAATAAAACATATTTTTAAACGACATTTTGGTGTAACAAATATTTACTAATAATGAATCCGTTATGCTTCTATAACATGTTAAAATATACAAAAATCATTTACAAAATAATTATTCATGGACAAATTGATAAATCGATTTATATTAGTTTTTAAAGTTTAAGATACTTTAAATTTTTTTAATTGGTCACTATTAAATAATATCAATCCGTTCATACATGTTTCCACGAACAGTATTTTCGTTCAAGAGCCATGACTTCTGTAAACTTCGAGAAAGTTTAGAAACTTATTTAATATTATTTATAACACCAACAATTTGTTTGAATTATAGATTCAAAGATAAATATAAAACAGAAAGAATAATCATTATGAATTATTACAAAAAAAAAAAAAAAAAAAATAAGAAAAAAAAAGAAATATATTTACAAATATTTAACTGAACAAAAGTTATTGCATTTGACATACATTTGTGGGACATTCCATATGCGTATATACATAGGCATATTATATTCAAGTAATATGGGACGAAGGAAAAACTTTGATATAAATTTAATTTAGAAACAAATTAATTGTTATGTTCTAGCAGCGTGATTATTATTGATATTATAATTGGAATAGCAATGTTAACTGATAAGATATATTATTTTACAGTATTGATTTAAAGTGTCGGTTTTATAAAATTCCGGTTCGGTTTCCATTCAAAGCATTACCCCTTGTCTTCACAACGGCGGCGGAAGTTTAATATACATCAGTTTTATCACGGGGGACAAAGAGAACCCCAATAAAATAATTAAAAAAATAAATCCTTTGGAAATACGTGAAAAAAATTGTAATTGGTCTGGTTCATTGTGCGATGTCAAAAAGGTACGAATCTGCGAACAAAAATTAACATTTCTCTCTACATAATTTATTTCTATTTTTACTCCGGTACGTATAATAAACTTGATATTTTTTTTCCCCGTCCTTACACCCGCTTTTCTTAATATAAAATCTATACGGCACAACAAAAATAACGACCGTATTAGATTAGGTTTTCGTATTCAGCTCCGCTTTTCATACCTAGCTCTAAATGCATTACACGATTTAGTTTATCGATTCTTTTTTTTTTCTGTAGTTCGACGCGTTTATTAAAAATCGTTCTACAAGTTAAAACGATCTGGTGCGTTGATCTGTAAAAACAAGAGGAAGGCTATAATTGTCTATGTTTCCTTCCAAAATTCAATTCTCAAAGTGTCGTTCACCACATGGTTTTGATTAACCAAATACGGACATTGTTATGTTTTATTATTTTTTTAATTTCAAAAATAAGGAAAAGTGATATCAGGCAATATCAAAATTATAATATAGTTTCTATACTTATTGTTGCCACAGTGCAAATAGATATTTGTGAGCGAGACAGATAACACAGAATAGCCCGTGTATATAATGTGTACATATTATATATCTTAACCATTATGTATTCATATTATTGTAATTAGTGTATTAATTATGTATTTGAAAGCTAAATCGATGGTGTTTTGTTCAAAGGGCGTATGCCACTAAAAATCGAAAAACACGTTTTTGGTATCGGCAAATCAGAATAATTAGGAACACAGACCGGTAAAAGGGCGTATTTAAATACCGAAAATTAAGTTGGTAATTTCGACTAAAAGATATCCCGGTGCCATTTTAAAATGTAATTAAATCAACACTGATCCGATAAAAGGGCGTATGCCACATTCAATGCATGCGTATTTTGACCACAATGTATTATGTGTACGAGTAACTTTATTTTTGTTTTCCATGATAAACATCGTTAACAATTGTTTTGCTGTTGTTTTGCAAAACCGTATTTATTGCTTCCCGAATAATGGTGAAATTTGATAGAAGCCGTTTAACAAAACACTGTTGATGTATGATCGACGAATCACAATAATTATTCTATTCTCATTCTAGCTTTGTATAACCGAGGATCCGCCTACTATAACACATTCGTTTGACGGTTTTCTATACAGAAAAAAAAAAAAAAACGATAATAAGTCGTACGATTAGAATGTATTTTTTCAAAATTTGCCAAATTGTATTTTACGTATGTACAGATGTAACCATTCGAGAACACGCAGAAACCTCGGTAACTTTCATCGTAACATTTAATATTACGTGCATTGCGCAAACAAACAATACGTATACGTAAATCCGGCGAAATCGTATAACCGTGGTATAGGGTTATATTATTATATTATTATGATATACAATACCGAATGCGTCAAGATGCACAATACTGCGCTGCAGAACGCATAATAATAATAATAATAATATTCGTATTGTGTATATACCTGCGTGTTGCAATAAAACGTATAAAGCGATGCGTTTTTGATGGCAAAAAAATTTGAATTTTCCGTAGTGGGTTCCGGGTGTACTTGTAGCGGCGGAACGGCGCGGCGGTCGGGTCTTTGATGTTGTCGGAGAATTCAAGAAACAATGGGTTATGTTATTATGGTCGATATTCCGTACACGCGCGAAAATAAAACGGCTCGCTGTTCTGCAGAAAAAATAAATAAAAAATACTTACTATAATACTGTTCACAAATCCGCGTATGTAGGTACATGACCACCGACCTTTTCACGCATGTTTCGACTTTTCTCGCCCGCGGCAACGGTGCTTATACGAATCTACTGCAGCGCAGAGAACGCGATATTTCCTCGTCATATTCACTATTATGCATAACATAAGGAGGGAAATCTCCGAGAAAAAAATCTTTAGACAAATCGGAATACGTTCTGGTGGGATTAATAACGTCAGTTTTTAAAATATTTTTTTTTGCTTTTTCAATGTTATTATTTATAAAAAAAAAAAAAAACCGAAAATAATGATTGCATTTTTCCCTCGAGTTAAAACGATATTTTCCGGTAAGTAACATTTTTTTTTCTTTGCGAAAATGGTATTTTTTTTTGTTTTTCTTTGAATTTATTTATTATTTTAAAGTTTTCTGACTTTTCCGGTATTTTTTTCCCCGACTTTGCAATTGTTTGTTTTTGATAAAAAAAAAACCACTGCAAACGTCGTTTCCCAAATCACTGAAAAACTTTTACGATAACATTTTAGTAAATGAGAATATGATGTTACAGTACAGTTGTTCTGTTATATAAGTATAAATGAATTAAAATTGTATTAAAAAAAAAAAAAAATCAAATTCAGAAATCTTCAAAAATGTCTCCAAGTAGAAACCTTTTTGCGTACGGTTACTACCATTGCTAACCTATCATCTCTCTTACTTGCTCAATTGACATAATATTATTTTTTTGTTTTTGATAAAACGTCTCGTTTTGAACGAGCTTTCACCGAAACTTTGATTTATTATTGACGTGTATTCGACGTTGAATAAATTACGGCGGTAATTTACTTTTTAAACGACAAAAGTCTAAAAAAGCAAACTTCGATTCCATTTTATGTTTAACGTAATGTATGAGAGGGGGATGGTGAATAACGCGTAGATAACATACAAATAATGTTTAAAATAATATTTTGACGATATCTCCAAGTGATTGTAAGAATATCGAATCAAATTCGATTAGGTTATAAGTCAGGTATTATTATAGGTTATCGTTTGATCATTTTCGTTAAATTAATTACTCGCCATTTAAAACACATATTCGAATATTATTACGCAGACCGAGACGGTACGGACTCGACACGCACGATCGAAATGTGATCAGGAAATGTATATAGGTTACCGGATGTCACGATTCCAATTCACTCTCAACTATCATCAGAGGATACGTTCTAAATTTTTTTTTTTGTAGTTCTTGGAGAAATTAGCCAGTCACACCGTCTCGGTCTCGAAATGATCATCAACGGACCGGTTGGGTAGGGGACGGCGGTCCGGCCACGATAATTTCTGATCGCGCCTCCGACATCCGCCTACACTCGATCGTGTCCAGTCCGTATCGTCTTATTCCGCGCTAAGAAATCTACCGGGGTAAATCGCCGGTTTCCGATAAGCGGATTACACCGAATGGGCGCGTGCCGTCTAAAATGTCTGACGGAACGAAAGAAAAATAAAAAAAAAAAAAAATAACCGTAATTCCCCGCTGACGAAACGCCGGTCGATTTTGAAAAGTACGCGTTTTTTATCCTCCCAATGCGACGGGAACACAATATCGCGAGGCAATCGTGTCATCGGTGCCCGCGTCCGTAACACCTACACGCGCCTACCCGACGCCGGTGACATTAAAACCGCGCGAACTCTTGCGAAACGAAGGGGAACCCGGTGTCTTACGGTCACGTGTTTGGCGTGGCGGTCCCGGTGCACTCGGTTTTTAAACGACCGCAGTGGTATGTCCAAGGACGGAGAACGGGACGGATGCGACCCGGTTTTCGCGTTTATTTATATTTTTTTTACCGTAAATATATACACGCGAGAAACGGGGACCGCGCGGCAACACGGCACGTGTATAAGTGCGCATGTGTACTTATATTATAAATGTACACATATACGCGTGTATACGCATAAAATATGATTGCAATACTTTTATGCTCGTAACACAATATCGCGTATCATCTATTCTTCACGACAATAGCGCTCGTACGCACAGTTCGTCCGGGAGTTTTCGGTAAAACGAGTCCGTACGACCACGCGTCGAATGCGTGAATTCAATTTCGCGCGTAACATTTGCGGCGGCGGCGGCGGCGGCGTTTATTTTAGCGTTTAGCCGTACGCCGTCGGTTCGTCCGCCAACGGAGTTGTAATTTCCATACGAACCCCCGTGCAATATCAATTATTTCGCGTTATTCCGCCGCCGTACACGCGTCTAATAATTCACGTAACTTTAATTTTCCGTTATTTTACAATATCAGCCAGTACACCGCCGCCGTCTCGACCAGGTCCCGACGATATTTAAATATTTAATAACGGTCGATACGAAGTCGCCTCAATTCAAACCGAACAGTGGGGAAGAAAATAATCAAATAGCGGACGGGTAAAGCGCATAATAACGAGTTTAGTTGCAAGTACAATTGACAACAACCACGATAAACCACTCGGCGTCGCGTTATTGCAATGCAACTACACTATACTGCACCGGTACGCGCGTCTGCGCGCGTAGACAACCGGAAATGCAACGTTGCTGTCGAATTTTTCCCCGGGAACGCACGCCGTCGCGCCGTATTGTGATCGTCGCATTATATCTTTTCGCCGCCTGGACACGTTTAGCGGCTTCGTCCGGACGAAATGAGCTCGAACCCGGGAATTACAGTTACGTTTTAACAGTGGAATTTTATCGCCTCAATCTCGGTTGAATTCTTCAACGGACTCCGCCGTATTGTTACGGGAAAACAACAGAGTTGTTTTGACCGTCGTTATACCCTTGCAGACCTGCCGCCCGTGACCCGAGAGACGGCATTATGTCACTGTCGCGTAACCGTCTAGGACGAATCGTTCGGGAGTCTCAAATTTCTAACCCGTGCCCGGTTCATATCTATGCTCAGATATCTTGGTATGAAGTGATAGACTGGGGTTTTAAACGTCCCCACAGGCTACAACGCGATTCAAATCCGACTGTTGTAAATAAATAATCAATAAATAGAGAAACGAACCATCGTAACGGCGACAAGTCCGCTGACGGAAAATTTCACGCGGAGATCTGCTGTTCAAAAGTGTTTATATTCGTCAACGATAAAAACGAAATTCGTACCGCAATAATGCATAAAATTGTACATTTGTACGCCAATAAAATGTTAAGTTAATCGCTTGAACAAAATCTAACAAGTTAACGTCACGCTGTAAGTTAATTTGGAAATTTAATTTAGTTAACTAAACAATTTATTTGTAAAACGGCCACATTTTTAAATGAATTCGTCATTTTCAGTTTAACAAGGCTCGAGTAATAATTATAAGAAAAAAACGAAATCAAAAACATTGAACAGAACCACCAGAACCAGAGTTATCGGATTTGTCAGATCTCCGCGGGACACTATATTATGTTCAGCCGTAAATGTCGAATATTAAAATTCCAATTGAAAAAAAAAGATATAATTTTTTACTATATCTATATAGTATACTTGTTATTATATTTGAAAATTGCGGTTTTTACATTATTGGCACGTAGGCGTATCGTAATATCGTATTACTTACCTACTAAGGTCGGGTACCTATGCTATAAAAACGTCGGCGAGCGAGAGACTCGGGTTTAAATTACTATAAAGATAAAACAAGAATGCGGAATTTTTTTTTTGTGTGTTTTTGTACTTGACGCACTTTCGGAACGAATTCGTAATTATTGTTATTATTATTATTGTTCGGTACAGCGCAGCGTACGGGAACACACAAAGGCATATAGCTGCTGATTACGCATTGTACTGCATGCGTATAGCGCTATGTATATAGGATAAGTACTTAAGTAGTGCACAATGCAAATTTGCTCTCCAAAGTAACAGTCTACATATGTGTACAATATATATACATATATATTATACATGTATGCAATGTAATATGCAATGTATGCAAATATGTGCATAATATGCGTAATATGACAATTTTATAAACCTAGTTGGCGAGAACGACGACGACGAAGGTACCCGATGATAATAATAACAACGCAGGTTAGGTTACCGGGTACTTGTAGTTATTTATCTGAACAACATAATTCCTAGGGAACATACGTATAGTAGTGTAGTGCAGTGTACCGCGTAGTACCTATAGACGAGTGGATGATACGTAATGTGTGGAGAATTTTCGAGTTAATTTCCGTAACGAAAAATGCGCAGCTAAACGTTATAATACGATAAATTGAGCGACAGAGGAGGAGGAAAATGAAATTCTAAATAGTTCGTTTTAACGTAACGCTCGGCGTTTTAGATTCGGAATGGAGCAAAAAATTGTGCATCAATATTTCCCACGGACCGCATGGTTTTACTTTTACAATGATAAAGTGTGCGCTTTTTTACCCTGTCTATAATCTATTCGAGGATGATTTACCGTGGATAATTATGTCGGAGTAATGTGCGTTGAGTAGGATTGCTTTTTTGTAGGAAACGGGGAGAACAAACGGGAATAATTACACGATAACCTTGGATTTTGGTTTTTTTGATTTTTGCTGTAGCTCATTGAAAAATAAATTTTAAAGCCCTTAGAATTTACACCCAGTACTTATAAAATATCTCAACGCTTTCTAGACGCGATACAATTTTCCAAAAATTCTAACGTTTTATAAGTTAAGAATAGATATTTGAAACAGTTGGGTTTTTTTTTTTTTTTGGTGGGTTGGGATTACATTTTTGAAACGCTTAATAATTGCTCGTAAATTTGATATGAGGGTTCTTAAATCTTACGATAATCTATACAAATATCGAAAATCTGTAAATTATGTATATTTTTATTGTTTCGGAAATTTAACGCTTTAAGGTTTGTCATTTGCTAATAAACTCCAATGATATTAGAACATGGACACGGTGGGAAAAAAAATGCTATTATACTTTTCAAAATGTTAATTTTTCGTTTTCGACCATTAAAATTAGTAATTAAAACGTTTTTAATGTAAATATAATGGATCTGAGAAATTGAAATAGATGAATTATTGTCCGTGATAGAAATGGTAGAATATTGAAATCAACAAACGCAAAATATTCCAAATTAATAATTTTTATACAAATTTCCGTTGTAATTCATTGTCGGTTTTAAACGTAATGTTATTTTGAACGATTCTTGGAATGGAAAATATTATTATTCGGTGTTTTATAAAACCACAATCTGGGGTCAATTCACTCGGTCCCGTGGTTAATTTAAAATGAGGTCTTTATTTTTTTACCATATTATAATATAGGATGTTATAATACGTTTTAATGGTTTTTTTTTTTAAGTCGATATTTAAATAATTTTATCATATTGAAACTTTAAATTAAAATGCATAAAACTACACGTCATTATTTATTTGTGTTCAAATAAATAAATAAATAATTATATTTTAACGTTAAATTAAAAATATAAAACAAAACCACCGTAATTTATTAACTTCGCGTAAAAACCAAAGACTAACGTTTTGCTGTAAAAAAAAAAAAAAAAAAAAATACTTTTTAAAAAATTGGTTTTAAAATTATTTTAGCTTCAATAGACCAGGATAAATAAATAAATGGGTACATTTTTACTTAATTTTTAGTGTTTCTTAGATATATTCATGTATTCATAATCTATGATAGTCAAAAATATTTAGAGTTTTTTGAATTACAATCAAATGACGCAGTTTTCTCGTATTTTGACCATAATATCTGGTCTTAAATATGTATCTAAAATTCGATGTAATCGCATTATAACTTCTATGCACGGAGAATTGAGTTCATCTCGTTGTACAGAGTATACAAGAATAATGTCATCCGCCGAAAGTATTTGAAACATTAATTATTTCGCCAAAAAGTTCAACTATCCGGTTATTGCACGAAACCCTTGAATTAACAAGTATTTTATTAACCCTAGAGGGTAATTCAGGAGTCGGCGATGGCGTTAATATATAACTTTAAACTTGACGAATATTACGTACAAATATTATTACCACAATCACAAAAAAATTCTGACTGAAACTATAAGAATTCAATGGAAAAACACTGCAACGCAGAACAAATTGCAATGGGGACAGAGTTTTTCTTGGACCTAATAGTTTTATTTTAATGTGTATTGTGATTCCGTATCTCTGAGTAACTTGTCCACAAAATATCATGCTTGAATTAAATAATAACAAGTGAACATACTTGATGAATTAGGTTCGAGTTAGTGATAAAGACACTCGGTTTATTATTTTTCAACCAGTTTTCATAATAATTGGGAAAATCCGGAAATAGTTGTAAAACGAAAATGGAGTAATTTACGGCACAACGATTTCATTATAGTATATTTTGCCTTGAAGATTTTCCATGTGTTTTTTATATACACATGTTATATATATTCAATAATTGAAAAAACCGAGACAAAATGTAAAAAGAAAGTAAATGTATACAGAAATAAAAGTTTTATTGTTTTAAATTTTGTTATAGATTCTTTGCGGAGCGTACAATTTATTGGTTTTACATTGATGTTTATATTTTTAATTTTTTTTCTTGTGAACAACCGTTCCACCAGAAATTTCGCTTCGATTTTTAAGTGATTTATCAATCATTTTTTCCGAAAGGAAATTTTAACTGGAGTAATGTCTGAAGAAAGTCGTTTTTCGATATTCCCAAGGGGTTTACATAATAAATAGGAAACATCGGGAAACAATTTAGGAAAAACGAAAAAATGTACAAAATGTATAATTTTCAAATCGTATATATTACGGCCTTTCTAAACACGTGTAACCGAATTCCGCTCAGAATCGTTTTCCATTAGCAACGATTAATAGTTGCGTACAAATATATAGATTACATTTTTCCTCTACTTTCCTAACTTCTCATCAACGACAGTGACTCACCAGTCATGTAACTTATGTCCGTTTTTTTTTTTTTTTTTGTTGTAGTTCAATTTATAATATCTGTGGAATCTCAAAATGTCGATATTAAACTTATATTGATACTTTCTAGATGCGATGTATAATTTTTAGATGCTTGATAATATATTTGATCTGTCTGTAGATATTTTTAATTTTCTATTTTTTCTTTTTGTTTTTTTTTTTTTTATTTAAATGGTTGAAAATTTAACACGGAGTTTATTATAAGTTGTAATTAGGTGTGATAAAGACTATTTTTATTCACAAGTTAACGGAACAACAATATATTTTGTTTTATCAATATTTGTGTGTAGTATATAAAAAAAAACACGACATCTATCAACTGTGAACAACTGTAATTTGTAGACGTAGCGGTTTTGTCCAGGCATAGGTGTTTAGATCAAATATCGATGGCACTTTTCGCGTTTTAACCAAACATTTCTGAGGTTTGCTCGTTATCAGCTTTTGCCCGATGCATAACGATATAATAATTACTAATGTGTATGGTCTATAATGTCACATAACCGACGAATAACATTGTATTTTTCCCTTTAAACTTCTTTTGTCGTAACGTTGTAGATAAAACTGCAGTGGTTTACGTTTTCACGTTATTTATTTATTGTAACAATTTTCTTTTTTTACATTAACAAACTATACTTACTGCGAGAAACTTGAAATATGTTTCCTTTAAAATATGGTCTGGTATCCAATTCTCTGTTTTCCTATACGTATAGGTATTTATAGGGCAATGTGAAACTTTTGAAACATTCCTAAAAATATTGATACACACGAAAAAAGAAATGAAACATCATTGTGAAGCCAATAAATTCTTCACTTTTCTCGCTTAGAATCTAAAAGCGCAGTTACCTACCTGTATATGATACCGGATAGAATACATGCAGTAATGGAAATCTTTTCACTTGGTTCACCCCGGTGTAAATCGGTATTATATTGTTCGTTTCAAAATGTGTGAACATAAACTATACCATTCGGTACCTAGAAATACGATTTCGAGTTCGGAGTTCACTAGGTAGTATAGTTTTATAGTACCGTGTATTATTTTTTCGTTTTTTAATTTAATTTTTATGAATTCAATATTTCGAGCGTTTCAAAATTATAACATTGCGTGGACAACCAACGAAGCGTATAATTATAACATTTAAAATAAAATACCCACGTGAATAATTGATAATAATATTTTTTATTAAATTTTAAAACGAATTCACTACCATATTATACGTATACTTTTTTCAATCGCGTTGCATGATCGTGGCATGGGAAATAGCTGTTAAATACGAGAAAGTATCGTTTTTAAAACGCTTACAAGCTACGAAACGAAATGACGGTTTATTAAAGAAAACAACTCGATAAATATCAATAACGCTTACATATGAGTAATATAAATTATTTACAACTAACCGGAAAAATATACGTTTCTCTTGGTCGTTTTATAGAAAATCGGAAATAATATTTCAGTGAAATTATTACATGTCCCAGTGTCGTGAATTATTGATTTTATATAATTATTCTTTTCAGTTCAGGTTAAATGTATAGGTTTACAGTAGAAATTTATTGATGACGAAAAACGGGTTCTGAGTTAAGTCCGATCAATCGGTTACCGTTTTGATAAACTTACATTGAAAATTGTATTAATTCGTAACCATATACAAAAAAAATAACAATTTTTCGTATTGTTTATTCACGCATTTGTTTAGCATGTTTATCGGTTTTTCGTGTTGCAGTCTCTTTCCGAGTCGAATCGACCGAATACACACACGTTATTATTCCCTAGAAATATTCCCGACTTTCCCGATTGTATTTGAAAAAAAAAAAAAAAAAAAAAAAAACTACAAATTAGAAAACAATTATCCCGGTAGAACAGAGAAAATCCGCACCGCAGCGCAAGACCAGTGCGCGTTTCTCGGCACGCTTGTGTTCAATTTCGGGATCATATTGTGCCCGTTTAAAATAATATTTACCGCGTAAATCGCGTTTTAAAAATGCATTTATCGCGTACGTGCGGCCGTGTAGAACCGAAACAACAAACGATAACGGCGATTTACTAAACGCGCGTTTTAAAAGTCCGTCAACCAGTGCCGTTTATCGGGCACACCTTTCGGTTAGACAATATTTCGTCGTTCGTTAGTTGGCGCGGTTCCACGTGCGATCCGCTCTCCGCGTCTACAAACCGTAACAATAATATACAATATTATTATCAAATACGTACACCGACGACTCGTGTTTTCGACGTGGGGGCCACGATAACGATGGCGATGATAACAATAATAATAACGCGGCGAGAATTCCGCGGTACATGCCACAGTGTGTGTGTGTGCGGAGCATAACGTAAAAAAAAAAAAAAAAAACGTTTGTAAATAACGTATTTTTATTTCTACGCGATGCGAAACTCGCGTTTTATATCGCCGGTTTCAATTAAATTAATTGTGTTTATTATGTAGGTACGTTCGAGTATTAGTACATACACATTACGTAATATTATATTATGCTAACAGAGTATACTCGCTATGTGTATTATATACGTATGATGTGTAGCGGCGGTTTAATTCAATAAAAAAAAAAAATAAAAGTTTCGAAACAATAGAATAATAAGTATGTAGGTGTTTAACGAGCTTCGCAATACTTATCGCGTATGAATATAGGTTTTGTATACTCTGTGTACCGTGAAATTATAAAACAAAAAAAACCGAAATGAAAACCGTGCGCGAACAAAAATCCGTGTGAAATACGCGTGAACGGGTTACTATTATAATAATTTGAAATTATTTTCAAATATTATACCGAATTTAAGGTGTTTTTTTGCATACGAGAAATTCGAAAAATATATTTAAAAAAAAATGACGCGTGATTTATGCGATAAATATGTATTAAATCAGCTGATGATTTAATTTTAATCAATACCGACTATGCTTTGTTGTTTTATTCTTCAAATTAATTAAAATAAAAACAATTATAGAACTACCTATATAACCTCCTTAATGTCCGCAAAAAACGGCCAATGACGTAGATTATATTCCCAAATTAGCATTGGTAATTTCAAAAAAAAAAAAAAATAACAAAAAAAATCACAAATATAGTAAAACGAAATATTTCGAAAACACCGATATCTTTCATCCCGTGAAGAAAAAGAAGCGAGACGATTGTAATTTGTAATATCGAAAAAAAAAAAAAAACGGTTTAAAATGTATTGTTATACACACAAAACGACTGCATTTTCTATAGGAATTCACAAATAAAACTTTTTGTTTCGTCCCCGAAATTAAAACCGTATTGTTACAACGGTATTATGACTTTTCATATCGCCCGTGATGGGAAATTGTACAATGTCAGAATAAACTTTTACCGGCTACCGAACAACGTAAAAAACACGGGACCACGCGGCCGATTTCGAATCGGGTCTCGTTCCGCCAAATAGCTGCAGGTATCATTATGGTATTATTGTGATTCGCCCGTGTCGTCGTTAACCTTTGTTGCAGAAACGTTTAAACGTTTGCACGGCTGCACTACGGGTACGTACGTTATTATTGTGTTATGCATTTATTGCGTAGGTATTAGAGATTACGATAACATTCGGAATACCGTTCGTCGGTAGAGATGGAGAAAAAAACAAAAACACAAAAAAGAGCAAAGCGATGTACACGCCGAACGGAATCATTTAACATGCGCCGTCGTTGTATTTCTCCGTCCGTCCCCCCGCGAATACCCGCGACGGCCATAATTCGATAAAAATCTGATGCATTTAAAGTGTGAATTAAGATGCGGCACACTGCGGTCTCGGGAATAAAAACATTTACTGTTCGCCACCTATGCCGTACGGATTACGGAACCCGCGCGCGCCGGTGTAGCCGGCTATAACAGTAATAATAATAATAATATATCAAGTGTGTCGAAAACCATTACGAAAACGCTATTACGAACCCTAACAGCGGGCGCGAGTGCGTGAAATACGACGTCCAATTATACAAATGACCTGCTCAACGTGTAGATTTAATACGGGAATACGGTCTAACGTCTGGCGCATACGCGAGTACGGAAAAAAAAGGAACGCGTACAAAAAAAAAAAAAACTCGTACCTACCGAACACACACACACACACACACACACACAAACACGTCACACACGTAATGTTCGCTAATTTTCACGTCAAACTACCGCGATAATTTCCCCCAAAGAAAGCCCCTGTCAAGCAGCCGGCGAGTGACGACTACGAGTTATAATCCGTATTCATATTAAAAAAAAAAAAACCCGCATCACGAGCGAAATTTAGTTAAACGTTTAACGGACGGTGTTATTTCAATACAGAGTTTTTGCACAACTCCGGTTAAAAATAACGTGCAAACCCGTTAACGTTATTTACCAATATCTGTTTTTGCGCGTGCGCAACGAATATCGGTTATTTGATTATTGTAATGTTATTTTTCGTAATTCAACGTGTTTAACACACACGTTATCGTAATCGGCTATTCTTGTCATCATTGTTTCACATAGAGTAATAACTACTCTATATTGTTTCATCAATTTTATTTCATTATTCTATTATATCTGGTATATGTAAACTTATCTTTAATCGTTCTAAATTTTTTTTTTCAAACCTAAACATTTGTCAACATTCTTCATTGGAACGTTCTTCTAAATTGAAATTTTCAAATGCGTGTGATCTGACACGTATGAAACGATAATAATTCCCTAGCTAAAATGTATTCTACATCATCGGCTGCAATTTTTTCCAAACTCACCAACTCCGAAAATTCTTCCATATTAAACTAAAGATTTACTTTCAAATGTAAAATAAAAAATAACTAAAAATCGAATTTACGAAACTAAAATTACGATAACTACTATGATATGCGTAATGATTACAAAATATTTTAACGGAACGGATCTTCGATATCTGGTAATGCAAAAAATAAATTTTCAATGATAACGTGGTAAGTATTAACGTATGATTTAACCGAACGTTATTTTTACCGTATTGTTTAACCGGCGTTGTGCAAAAATTCTCTAATATAATAGGTGTACACGGTTAATCCAACGTCCAGTTTTACTTAAACTGCATTGAATTTAGAGTTTTCTAATACCACCAAAGTTTTGGTCGTAATTTTTTACATAATTGTTTAATAGTTTTCAGAATTTATTTGAAATTACTACGGTCGTTACAACCGAAATATCGAGGCAAGTTTTTCCTTGCTGCCGGTTTTAAAAAAATAATTAGAAAATTGTTTATTTAATCGGGGACTTAATACCATAGATTAAATCGTTACATATTTAATTTGAAATATTTTTAGTTTATAATCTCTAAATAAACATTTATTTTATATTGAAAATGTATTCCAGTTTAAATATTCAAAAATGAATACTCACACTTAACGTATTCAACACGGATTTTTTTTTTTTTTTCGCTGTTTAGTATTGTACATCGATATGTGGGCATTACTTTAAGTCCGAATGACCAAAAGCTTTTCGAAAAATACATTTAAACACTAAACAAAAATAGAAAAAAAATACGAAATAAGTGTTTTAACGCGTTAGCGTTGTACAGTTCGAATCGAATTATCATGCAATTGAATTATATACGTCACATCACGGTGAATAGTGTGAATATTATTATTTTTCTCAAAATCAAATCGTCAAAACAAATGCGCGCTGTGCGAGTCACCAGCCCGAAAAATCCTTTAAAAGTTTATTCGGTGCCTACCTACGCGTTATTACAAAGTCTGTCACACGAGGTTTGATTTCCTAACGAGCACGTTCCCGGACATTAGGTACGGCGGAGACGAAACAGAGTTGCTAGAAAGAGAGTAAAGGTATATATATATATATATATATATATATATATATTCAGATAAAGACGGTTAGCCTTTGTGGAAATCACGTGGAACTTGTCGTCGTCGTCGTACGAACGTGACGGTCGAGTTTTCAAAGCTAAATCCACCTGTAATTACGGTTTCATCCCCGCACCCACAAACGCCGGCCGAGGGCGGGTCACGTTATTCCCCACACGCCCGTCTTCGAACGTTCCCAAATGCCCTCGGGATAGCTCCGTCTCGCTTGCTCTTTGCGTCCAAAACTCTCGACGCGGCCGATATATATATATATATATAAGTGTATACATTTCCTTACCGCGAATACCAGTATCACGGTAACGTGGTAACCGTGTTAGACCTGCATCGGGGGTCGGTAACGAGCGACCGTCGACTCTGGCCATTTGTCAAAAGCTCAACGGCGACGCCCACCGGCCCGAAACGACCTCGCGGAAATTTGGCATCTCAAATGATCGTATATTTTATTGTCTACGGGTCTATTTAAAACGGAGATGAGAATATATACCGGCAATCGTAACCAGACCTCCCTTCGCCTATATAATGGCCTTATCCACTTAGGGGGGTAGAAAAAACGAAATCGACCAATTTCATAACATAATTTATAAAATTCAAATATTATTTGTTTGATAACATTCGAACGATTATTAGTTAAAATATCTATTTAAGTTAGAAGTTACTTTTCCTAATAACCAGTCAAATTTACTGTTCAAAACAGAATAATTGTTAGAAAATAACTTGGTTGATACCTAACTTAATTATTTATTTAAATATATAATTTAAACATATTAATATTATTTCGTTAAAAATTAAGTTATTAACGATTTTTTTAAATGAAAACCGTGCACCTGTATTTTTTTTCCACGAAAATACACGTTTTTTTTGTGAATATCGTTATCAGTTATCATCACCGTTCAAAATAGACATGCAGCCTGACATTTAACTAAACTTAAACTATTGTATTCTTGAATATATTTTGTTAAACGCGAATGTCACATTAACTTGCCCGGCTTTGTTATTTGATCGCTAGGGGAGGGGGTTATCCACTAAATTATTATGATCCGTCAAGGTCACGTATGCATCGCGGAAATAATTTGTTTACCGCCTATTCTCCGTAAAATATGTTTCGCATCAAAACTACGTAAATGTGTCGGCAAATCTCGTACGTTTAACGTTTATAATAACGATAACACGTGGTGCGCGCGCAGTAATATATTTTATTGTCGTACATCGAAACGTGGAAAAATAGAATGGGGGAGGGAAAACAAAAAAAAAAAAAAAACAATCGTCGAAAAACACGATGACTTATCGCACGGAAATATTATATTATTATAATAGTAGTCGTTTTACATTCAGAACACTGGGCGCGTATATTATATACGTACTCGTCGTAGTGTTGTCGCGTACTCGTGTGTGAAATCGAAATTACTTTCGCCGTTGCCGGGTGCCGAAGACGAGCGGGGGGGAGGGGGTGCGTTTCGAAGACGAACGGTATATGTACACACAGGGTGATCCGTTTAAGTGGCTACACTCGATATTTCGAATATTCGTTTTTTTTTTTCAAACAGTTTTTTTCGTTTGTTTTTCGACAATAATTTTTCAAGAAGCGAGCAGCTCTGAAATATTACGACTATTCCGAATTTCGGTTTTCAAAATACGGTATTCTGTTTATCGCCCCCTCCCCTCCTGAAAACAAAGGCACTAAACAATTAAATAAATACTATATTTTAGAGCCGCTTGTTTTTTTTTTTTGCATCGTTGAAGAAATAATTACATATTTCCCAAACATCGAGTGTATTCACTTGAACGGACCACCCTGTATAGGCACTCGTATTTTTATTATGACATTATTATTATATTTCGTTGTTTTCCCCCTATCGAACGAACAATATAATATATCGACGACCTTTCGCGCCATCGTTTTAAAAATGGATTTTACAACACCGTTTTCGCAGCAGCATCAGCATCAGTAGCAGCAGCAGCGGCAGCATCAGTAGCGGCAAGAGCGGATTAATAATTACGTCTTCCGCGTGACGTACTCGCCCGTTTCACGGATGACCGACTGTGTACCTACTACCTATAGTCGGATTCATTTGTCTAATAACCTGTTAACTATAATGGCGCCTATTAAACAACGGTCGACGACGGGTTAACTATATAGCCCTATCCAAACAGTGTAGGCGACGTTTCAACAATAATCGCGCGAGACTACCAACATGCGCGAGATATCGCGACATCACTCGCCCGTTTCGCTGTAATATACGCATAAATGATTATAAAATTGCGATTTATTTGTGGTTTTCGGGCCCGCGGCGATTTGCAGCCGCACGACTCGCGTACCCGTTCGTTTTATACGGAGAAAGGGGCGGAGGGGCTTTCGATGTAGTGTAAAAAAAGAATACACCGTGTTGTCCTACAGTAGTATAACGGTTCCGCTGTCCCCGCGATTTTAACGAAATTACCGACGAAACAAAAATAGTATTTGTTATTTTGTCGAGTTCATCGATTTAAAATTAAACGTACTCGAATATTGACCTCTTTGCGTTAGTATTCAATTTACTATGAAAGTCCCTTCTGATTGTATGTACGCGTAATATCGCGTGGGAAACATTAAAATTTGTTCCCATTTAAAGTATTGCAAAAAAAAAAAAAAAAGGAAACAAAACAAAACCACTTTTAAAAAAAGTATTTACTATCGGGTTTTCGGTATGCATTCCGGGTATACTTGTCGTTTATCTTTGTATACCTGTATAAACTATAGACATAACGATCAAAATGTATGTAAAACGAACGGTTTAAAGGTTTTGAAAACGCTCGTCGGTGGAAAATAATATAGAACACTAAATATCCAGAAAAGCGATTTATCGACGATTGTTATCGGAAAAAAACTTTTATTCGATTGATCGACCGTGTTATTGGACTTACTCCTATGTCCGCCGCAGTGACCGGGTCGTATGCATTTTTATTTTTATTTTTTTTTTTTTATGGTCGGTTGCGGGTGAACTCAAATAGTATAGTGCATAATACAAAGATAAATGATAGACTTGATAATGATATTATAACGTTATTAAAAAAAAAAAAAAATAAAAAAATACCCATATATCGTGAATATATCCATTGTTTTATAATATTCTCTCTGTATACGTACGTACACTGTGTTTCCAGCACTTATAGAATATTAAACACAATATTATTAAAAACAGCAGTGGCATTCCCATCATTCCACCGTCACCGCCGCCACCGAAGGTTTTTCATTGTAAAATAGAATAAACAGATATCATTTTATTTTTTTTTTACAGACACGCACACACACACACACACACACATAAACACAGCGCTCGTTGTAATGATAAATATTCCTATATGCACCGCGAGGAGTATCATTATGTGTACTTACGTGTATATAATATACAGTTCAAATAAAATGCTTTTGAAATAATAAATTATTTCGCGAAATGTATTATACGAGTATGAAACAATAATAATACTAACATAGGTATGTACGAATATTTTTTTTAAAATTAAATCGCTGGATGTATGATATTTCATGTTATTGTGTAGATACCGGGGACCGGAACCTTTACGATTTTAAGGGTTTCGATTTTGTTTCGGTTCTTTAAAAAAAATAATAAGGCTTCCGGTCTTTTGATTTTTAAGAAGTTTCGGTCTTCAACTGGTCTTTTTCGGTACGGTCTTTTATAAGGTGCCAGTCAATCATGGATGAGATACTTTTATAATTTATTTCACCATGAAATAAACCACTAGGCCTATTCGACTTATAACAGAGCGTTATAAAATATAGAATACACAACATTTCCGTATTTCAAGATATTTTCAATAAAATATATTAGTTTTTTCAACATGCCCAAAGGTCAAAGATAGTTTAAGGATTCCGATTACAATACGGGAAATGAGTGTGTGCGAGATTTCCCGGAATTTTTATGTTTTGTATGTGTTACTGTGTGATACATAGGTACAACGTAGTTGGGTATCAATAATATAAAACCCAGTGCGATAAGCGCCGTAAGAAAAATTTAATTATAACACTTGTATTGCTGGATGATTAAATTAAATACAAAGAGAACGCAATTCACAATAGAAAATAGTGACTCGCGGATTCCACGGGGAATACGATCGCTTGAAGTCAGTACATTCGCGAGTCTACGAGATGATGGATTAGGGAAGTGTTTATTACCGGTGGATAGATCTACGGTTTAATATTAATTATTACTACTACTATTTGTTTAAAATGTATAAATCATAAATTGGAATTTATTACCGAAAAACAAAAAAAAAAAAAAACCGCAAAAAACCTCTACATCAAAATAAAGGTTTTGGTTCTAAAAATAAAAACAATTTAATGTTTCGGTCTTGTGATTTTCAAAAATATTCTGACTTTAACCGGTATTTTACGGTTCCAGTTCCTGGTAGATACACGCAAAAAAAAAAAAAATGATTGTATATTTGCGTACTTTCCACATTCCTCTGCGGTCTATAATAATAATAATATGCGCGATATTAATAATAATAATGATTTAAGTCGAATAACATTTGGGTATGTACGGATATTTTAACAAAACAAAAATTCAAGGACCGCAACAACATTTGTATAACCCGAAAATATTATTATTTATTAGATAGGTACCCAAAAACAGCAAGAAAAAAACAGGTATCGTATTGTGTAGAATAACTTTCAACAAATGATAATGTAAGCGGAATATTTTTCATCGCCGTTTTTTCTAGCGGAAGATATATTGTTATAAAATCTACGTACGAGTATAAATCCGTATTTTAAGTACACACGAAACATGCTCGGAAACCGAAATTCGCCTAGGTGCAATACAATAATGTAAACACGATGGAATCATAAAGTGGATTATGGCGAAATTGTAAAAGGTAATAAATGTTAGCAGAAAACACGAGTAAATGAGTCAATAAAGAAATCGGCGGATAAGCGCGTGATAAAAAAAAAAAAAAAAAGGTATAATATAGAAATAAGGTAAAAAAGAGGATCGAATTTCACCGGAAACGAGATCGAACGAAAATATCAGATTAGCGATCATTATTAGGTTGCGGGATGAACCATAACTCTTAAAGGACGGGTAGGGTAGTTGCGAGGAGGACGATTTTCTCGAGAGTTTACTCATCAAATTTGAAAAACCAAAAAATAAAGGGGAAATATATTAGTTAAAATATAACATTTAATGACAGCAATGTTTCTAAAAGGAAATTTTATTAGGGAGGTACTTTAAAGAAATCATTTTTCGATTTTCCCAAGATTTTTTCCAGCAAATGTGAAAAACCAGGATAAAAAATAAGAAAACCGGGGAAAATGTTGGAAAACTGGAAAAATCGGTACAACGTCTAACAAATAATATCATAGAAAATATATAAAGCCTCTTTATTTAGATTACTATAAAATAACATATATATTGTTGGCAAAGCAACATTATCAACTGAATTCCGCTCAGAATCGATTTTTGTAAGCAATAGTTAATCGTTACTTATAGGTATACATTAAATTACCTAAGACAGTGGTTGCATCCGTCTCTATTATCCTGGGACTTTTTTTTTTTTTTCAATCTGGTTTTATGGGAGGGGACATATATAAAGGCACATTTTTGTTATTTTCATCTCTTTATCATTGAAAAAAAATTAATTTTAATTTTTTCAATTTTTAAAATTTTCAAAATTGTTATTTTGTAAAATGTATATATTTTGTGTGAAAACAATTAATTTAAAAAATGGCTATTTTAAAAATTTCGAAAATAGATAATACAAAGTTATTTTTTTTGCGATAGTTAAATGATTAAAATAAACATATTATTTTTCTCTACATAATATATTGCATTGTTCTTGCTTAAATCCCGATTGAAAAAAAAAAATAAATACCGTCAGAATTATTAACATAAGGATAACATTATGTAACACACTGTATATTGCCGTAAGAGAAAGTGCCCCTACAAAAGACGAGATTTTTAAGGATATGGCGCAAACGAAGGGGCGAAAAAAAAGAATCGAGGGGAAATAGGAGACGATACTGCTGTGAGGTGCTATCTGTGAAGCCGGAGAGTTTAACGGATTTTCAGCGATAAGCTCCCTTGATGTTTTCGAGTGTGCAAAGGGTACTATAATGTTAGAAGTAAGAGTAATGCTAAAATCGTGCACGAAGAAGGCACCGGCAGAAGCGACGGGCACGTTATCGTTCGTTTGATAAGAAAATATTTTACGGGTGAGTGAATATATTTATTTTAGAAGCGATGTTTAATCGTATAATATTATTTGTTTCCCTCAGTTATTCGTTTTTTATTTTGTTATTTTTTTTAAATTTTTAATAAATAATTACAATTTCCGACCAGTTGGGTTCCCGAATTGGTTTAAGTTGTATATATTACAATGACAATAATACACTTAATATAATAAAAGAAAATATATTTTGCATTTGGGAACAACGGGAATTGTCGGAGATAAGAACTCAACCGGGACTGTAGCACTTTCCACATTGTAATACATAAAACGCGATACGTTTTAAGTCTGGATTACGCGGCGAAAGTGTTTGTATAATATATAATATAATATAATAGGTTTCCAGGGAAATGTACGCACGTTTTTTTTTTATATATACTCGTATATATATATATTTTAATCATAATAAATTATAGAACAATAAATTAAAAACGTTTTATGTTTCTCGAATATAGCCATCTCATTAGTCATCGCATATTACAATAGCTGCGGGTAGGTAGCAGTACCATGGCGAAAGTTTCGATCCATAATACGTGGGCTGGTTTTTAATTAAAAAACAAAAAATAAGTATAATAATAATGATGAATTATACCTAACTAATTTTCTAATATTATTCGAATGTATTCGGAAAATTAAATACGGTTTTACGAAGATTGGCCAAAATGACTTAAAGTTAGTCGCAAGGCTATAGACTCAAGGAAATAATAGAATTCGTCACAGTGACATGAGGTATAAAAAAGCTAAAAAAGACGGTCTTAATTCACACGTGGGTGCAGCTACTGCTATCGGTAGAAAGTTTGAAAGGTAGGAAGCAGAAGGGAATTTAATGTATATCTGTAAGCAAATAAACCATTGCTAACAAAAAAGCGATTCTTAGTGTCCTTTGATAACAATATACATATTTATATTATATCTATAATTGTAAAATATTCACATATGCATTAAACATTCAATTTGATAATATGTGTTTAATATCGTACCTGTTTTCCCGTGTTCCCCTTTTACCTCTGTTTTTGTTTTCGGTTTGTCCAATGTATTGAGAAAATTAAAAAATTAACCAACCCAAAGTACCTACTCAAATTTCAAAAAAATTGCAAAATTTCCGGAAAAAAAGATGTTCATAGATAAAAGAAAAAAAAAGAAACATCATTTTAAAACCATATTCATCTTTGCTCCACTAAAAATCTAAAAAAGGAGTTCACGTATAAAAACGAATTGTCCTTTTTAATAGAGGATGTTAATTTGTTGCATTAAATCATTTGTAACACTGAGAAATATTTTGTTGTTTCTAACGATGCACCGTGATGCTCATGGAAAGTTATTTTCAGAATTAACGCTAAAGGCCACTAAGACGGTGCTCACTTCATATCGGCAAACCGTTATCAACGTTCGATCCGATTAGGATCTTTTTTTATTTTGTGAAATTGTTCGTGATATTTTAGAACCTCCCCCAGTATCTATCGATGATAATAATAATAATAATAATAATATTTTAATTCGGCTCGCAGTACAAGTCGTCTTCCGGAACAATAAATCTTTGCACGTGCGCAATTTTTTCCCATGTCACACAAGAACGGATCTGTAGTATTATAATGTCCGCTATATCGTCACACGCGTATATTATAAAGGTCGTATAAAAGATTTCGGAACGAGAACAATATATAACGACATCGCGCGTGGAAAGAAACAATATATATATATATATACATATTATATAGGTACTGGGAGGACCGATCGATAATTCACGGGGCGTTTGGTGTGTAAAAAGACCGCGCGTTGAAAAGGTTCCAAAAAAAAATTGAGATGAAAAAAAAAAAAAGAGTCCATTCCGGTTTTCCGTCCGAATTTTAATTTATTTTCAAAAGCGACCGTTGTTTCCTGTCCGCGGCCGGTTTGTACGCACTCCGCGTCGATATATTATATAGTTTACGGTCGAATATTTACGACGCCGCCGTTTTATAATGTTACCATTTCCAAGGCACCTATATATATAAAACGAACTCGGTTGATCGTGGCCAGACTGTGGGGGGATCCGCAGGGATGTTGGTGGGGGCAAATGTTCGGACCGTATAATAGTATAATACTTATTGGCCCCGCGCACGGGTTTTTATTCCTCGGGTTATCGAGTTGCAATGTTATTTAACGTTATAATAATATATAAAAAAAAAAAAAAAAAAAAAAAAAAAATATATATAACAATGTAAAGATTGGGTTTCAAAACGTTGCGAATTTTAACGAACTCTTTCGTTTCTACTTTATCCCAACACGTCGTTTTCTCCACCACCATTATTGTGCTACTTCTGTGCTGATCGTTCTTTCTTTTTTTTTTTTTTATGTAAACTTGATTCATTTTTCCTGGTATGGCTTTGACGGAATATTAATTTCGAACGAAAAGTGAACATTTATTAAAAGCTATGTTTTTTTTGTTTTTTTTTTTTTTTTAACAAAGATAACGCGAGAAAAATAAGTAATGTTAATAAAGTACGTATGTATTTAAAATATTGTAAGATTATAAATATTATACAATTTTTTCTGTAACTTACTAATACAAAAAAAAAAAATCGTAAGCATAAAAATAATAATTTTAAAATTTCCTTTAATAATTGTATTTCTAGAGGTTACCTATATTATCTCTTAAGGTTTTTTTTTTTTGTTCTTTCCAAATCCGACGAACCATCACGAATTGTTTTTGGCCGACGACATTGTTTTTTCGAAAAACGCAGTGTTCCGGAAAACCATAAAACGTTTCCGATGCTTTAAATTCAGTTATCGTACTTACCGGATGGACGTTATATACATACCTACACACACACACACCCACACACATATATATATATATATATATATATTGTATTCGATGTCATCTTACGTCTTAAAATCTATTATATAGGATATGACCGCCCGTAAAAATTCTCAAATTCTCACCTGAAACATAAAACAATACATTATATATTAATAAAATTAGGCGGTGAATTTGCATATTATATTTTATGCATTTATTCGGTTTATAATTTTTTTATTTTATTGATTAAAATATTAGTTTTTTTTTACTAATTATAGATTATTTTCTACGCTGTTATAATTCTTCGTTAATCGATTAGAATTTTGAAAGCGAAAATAATATTGTGGGTTAAACGTTTCGAAAGGTTTTATTTGAATTTTCGAAGTAGACACGTATACGCTTATCGAGAGCGTTAGTGAACTTTTACCACACCCTGTAGGTAACTATTGAAAATATCAAAAAGCATTGGTGGTTCTGTCACAGTACCGGATACGAAACGTATAAGCCTATTGATTTTTAGGCTTAAAAAAAAAACGATACAAAATAGATAAAAATGACATTAATTAATTAATTAATTAAAATCAAGTATGGTGTTGAAATATTTGAAAAGAGTTTGCTTATCAAATAAATTGTAATTGTACGTGTCTATTATACATGCCATAGAAAATATGAAAATAATAATATCAACTATATAATTAAGACGTTGGTTCTACGGGATATGATGAGATTTACTCCCACACTCTTGATAAGGAAAACAAATACACTAAATATTTTAATATTGTAAATAATATGAAATCTTCAGTATGAAAACTCACTAATTTCCCACTCGGGTTGTTTTGTATTTTTCAAATGGTCACAATAAAGGTGTTCCATTTAAGTGGATCCACTCATTATCTTGAAAAGTAAAAGGTTTTTCGGAATTTGTTTTATAGAATGTACCAAGCAGCTTTATAATTTTACATTTCATGTTGTTTTTTTGTGGGTAAAACTACTAATTAGATTTGATATTTAAATGGTACCTTTCAGAAAAATTCCATAAATGTATGAAATATATTTGAAGCACATTGAGAACAATATTATGCCATTTCCATGCATAATGTAATTATAAAATGATTAATATATGCTTCGATTACCTCCATTCGCTCGCTTTTCGAGTACACATCGGAAATCGAAAATAACCTCCGATTTGATATGCAAATCTATGTCAAATTTGTCACGAGGGAAAAATAATTCCGTGGAATTTTGCACATAGGTTGTCGCGGTTGGGAGAACTGCCCGAGTTCCCGTTACTACACTCCTTATGGGTACTTTAGCGCGCAAACATCAGATTATACCGTAACGTGTATTCCGTTTCGAGTTGATTAATGCAAAACTTCACCAACGCGTTCAATATAATAATTGTTTAGGAATAATAATATTATTTAGTGTATTATTCGACGGGGGGAGGGCTTATGATAATTGGCTTAGAAATGATTAACTCCCGTGACTCGAGGTTTAAATCGAATACGTTTAACCCGTGCGTATGTTATACGCATACAGCACTCACGATAGTACTACAATACAAAATAATATTTTATGCATAACGGGCGTGGTTTGTGGTGAAATTAAATTCCGCGTTAAAATACGTTGCATTAAAAATTAATCAAAAAATCTCCGGAATAATAGGCGGGGAAAAATGTAACTACGGTATTATAGGTAACCGGTATATAGGCACTTAGGTATTTAAAACGAACGATTTTCGTATAATATCGCGGGAATTATTAATGTGCAGTCTCTCTTATTGTAGTGCCGGAGTGGTAAATTAATTAAATAAAATTACGTAGGCGGTACGCTGGGTATGCACATGGCGAAAATCTGACAAACTGCTATAACGATAATGTGCGAATCGTATTTTGTTCTCTTTCTCGTTTGGTTATACAAAATACGGAAATCGTCGCTAACAAAACGGTTTATCGATTTTGGCTTATACAAGTTATTTTTTTTTGTCACGTAACAATGACACATTTATGAATTAAAAAAGGTTATAGGCTCGCGCCACTATTTTAGGCGGGTGGTAAGATTTTATCACTACGCAACGATTTATCGTTTCTTATGAAAAAAACAGCTGAGTATTATAGATCGTAAACTAAGGTAACTCGGAAATAAAAAAAAATAATGTAAATCGATGTTCCAGTGTTTCCCATTTATTTAGAAAACTACATGAAAAGTAAAATAATAACCCTCTCAGTGCACCAACTAGATCAAGAAGTGGCTACAAGAAATATCCTATTAAGGTTTTGATTAGTATGACACTATTGTTAAAACATTTATTTTATAAACACCTAAATAGACCTCTGGCCGGTACAAGATATTACATTATGTCTCAGCCTAAGTTCGAATTACAGATATATGCGAGTGAACAATTTTTTTGGAAAACCGCCGGGAATGTAGAATATTGTTTAAAATAAAGTGGTGTCGGGCGCGTTTCCGCCACGTTTTTGCTACCACAGCTTGAAAGTTTTTGTGACGATTTCCCAACCACGTCGTCTTGTAGTAAAACTAATGTACAGTTACTTCGTTACGCTCGCAATCCGAAACGAATGAAAACTCGTTTGTAACATTATTATTGTTATTATTATTATTATTATTATTATTATTATTATTATTATTATTATTATTATAATGTCTAGCGAAACCCGATGAGCGAGAGGGGCACGTGCGCGGCGCGCGCGTTTCGCGCGGTGGTAAATCACACTGCACGTCGACCGAGAACAAATATTACGTGCGGAATAATTAATAACGCGACGATAAATCAAAACGGTATAATATAGATACAAAGCTAAAAGATACATACATTCATAATACAAGTCAATAATTATCTACGAGCGTTTTAGACGCGCATAGTACGCGTTCCGACGTGTTAATGATAAATTACTTTACGGGTGACTTGCGTCCTAATAAATAAGAATGGGCTCAGGCATTTCTCTCCCCCCCACCATCCTAAATAACGCAAAAGCAAAAAAACTACAGAAAAAATGGAAATCTATTCACCCCACTGACCTACCGAGATATAGAGCTAAGTTCCGATACGAGTCCAGGTGGCCGAAGGAACCCCTAACGAAATAATGTAGTTATGTTTTAGCTGAGTGAAAACTCGATAAATAGTTTCGCTACTTGGTCAATCAAAATAACGCCAAAATGCTTTAATAGCTATACAGTAATGGACCATTGATAATCAGGTACAGTTTAAGAGATGTTTAATTGTTTACTGATTCTGACCACTCGGCTTTCAAAAAGTGCATTAATTAAACAAACAACCGTCACAGTAAACAATATCACCAAAACTATTTATTCAAAAATCGGTTTTAGTTTCTGGGTTCTGATTAGTTTTCTCGCACACTCTTGCCTCGTTCAGCAATAAAAAATCCAATATAATACAATGCATACATCTTGTTTGGGATGAGATTTTAAATATTTTCCTTAAAATATGAGAAAAATTTGAAAAAAAAAGCCGGAAAAATGAAAGTAAATAAGAAAATACCCGCTAATCGTTAGTTACGGTCTTGTTGGTTTCTAATGATTTCAATGCTGCACTTAATGTTTTGTATTTTATTTTTAACTTAGCAACGCAAAGAATTTTAAAGGCATACATTTCTTTAGAGCTACTCATAACTATATTGGTGAGTTTTTTCTCGGTTTTATATGAATTACTACTTCAAAAAGGCCCTAACGTTATATACATATGCAATTTACTACTATGATAATATTATAGACAAATATCCAACATTTGTAGTCGGGATTTTCTTTATAAGCATTTGAATTTCACATATTTATTTATACATATTATTTTCTAAGTATTTACGTACGTTTATTTTGAGTAGATACCAACATCATCACGATGACGTTTCATTTAATAAAACGATATTCAATTTTTAACCTTGCGTTATTATTGCGAACAGTAAAATATTTTCACCGGTAAAGCATAACAACGTCATAATAAATACATAAATACCACGCACTAAATTGTACGTTATTTGTCTTTTACTATAGAAACAAAAGAAAAAAATCGTTTCTACAATGATTGAACGCGTTTGTGTATTGTTTTAAATTAAACAAATGGCTTCATTGTCACCGAAAATCGAATAAAATGATGTATGGAAAAATTAGGAAATCCACGGAACAAGAAAACAATGCGTAAAAATGTATAAGAACGATTTGGCATAAATACCTTTAATAATCGTAAAAAACGTCAATAAAATTGCCTATATATATTCGCATCTTGTTCTGTTTTACCCATTAATGATCACCGTGCGCTGTAGTGAATAAGTGAGCGAAAACGTAATTAATCGTTTCGAAAAAAATAATGGAGGTTTCGATAACATCGATGAGCTTGTTGTGCTATTGATGGGATACGGGAAGGTAGTCAAACGGGAGGGGGTTGTTAGAGACGCGGGCAAATGGATATTTCCATAAATAAATACAATTTTCGACGTTATATTATAAAACGAGTTGGGAACTGGAGGAGAAATCGTAACCGGCGAATGGGTGGAAAGTGCAGAGGAAGTTACGACCCGCGGCCGGGACAACTACAAAACGAACTATAGGGAGAGGTGTGGTAAAGAAGAGAAAAAAATCCACCTCTCCTAAAGCTCCCGAGACTGCCCGGGAAATTTACTACAATTACCATCCGGTATTTATTTTTTTTAATTTCCTGTATCTCCAGCTGAAATATACGGTCCCCCGACCCTTTCAACCGTAATCCGCGGGACCTGAGCATAGCCTGGGCTTGAAGGGTTGGGGGAGGCTTGAAAGGCAAGAAACGCCTTAATTATTATGCTACCGGGTTTCGCGCGCCGAGTGCCGACCCCCTTTATTTTCATTTTGTATTTCGGTAAACGGTACTTGCACATAAAATCGGCAATACATCAGCATTGTCGGTCAAACTAGTTTTTCGTTCACCAAAACCTGGTATACATGCTGATTATTTATCCATTGATTCCTAGATCTAACTATTATCTAGCGATTATCTATACACAAAAAGTTTTTGATATGAATTTTTTTTTTATAAATGATATGCTGTGATACTCACATGTTCTGTCTCTGTCATATAAACGTATGATATAGCAAATTTTCGTTCAGAAGGGACAACTTTGCGCTATCAATTTTAATATTGCAATGAACCCTTTAAGAAACTTAAAGATAAAAACATTTCCACTGCAATTAAATTTGTTTTTTTTTTTTTTTTTATTATTCAACTTAAAAGTTGGATATTGTGATATGAATATGTAAAACAATTCAAAAATAATTATACCTTGTTTAAAAATTGAAAAATCGACGTATTTTCACAGAGAAGAATCATAATATTTAAGTTTGATAAAAGGCTAATTCACGGTACCTATAGCGTTTTCCTATAGTTAAACGGACATTTGTTATGTCGTACGTTTGTACACGGGAGATAGAACCGAGCCAAGATAGAATGGACTGTGATGAATCGCAAATGTTTTCTCTGTTATCACATCACAGCAAACAGACTGGTTGTAGCGCTACTGGTAGTAATTTCTGGCGTCAAATGATATTATCACCCGTGATGTTAAGTTTGTCCATTATAAAACCAACAATAGATATTACATATTGACATCCCTCACTTGTCTCTAGTACACCAACTAAATGCCACTGATAGACCACTATGTACCTGTCAATATTCTAACTTAGTTTGTCCGTTCACTGTATAAATTAAAATACTGATTGAATTTTGAACCTTGCAAGTGACACTATCGTAACGTTACGATAGACGCTCAAATCATTTATTTTCTATTTAATCAATAAGAACAATTAATACACGTACGACGATTAATATACGGTTTCAAATTAACGTGCACATTATTTCCTGGAAAAAAACAATTGTATTTGACAGACGAATTTGTGTAAATATTTCGGTTTCTTGAAGTTTCATTATTAGGGAGGAGGGGTCTAAGAAGAACGAAAAAAATCTAGAAAAAAAAAAAAAATTATAAAATAAACTCCAAATGGCCACAACGATAGTCTCTGACATGTTTACAGACTGAAAAAAAAAAACCCAATAAAAGTGTAGACCATACATGTATTATAGTAACACACATCGCTAAAAGCAATACGTTATCATCGTTCCGATCGGAATCAAAAAAACAAAACGGCTTAACTGAATTTCGCGTCATTAATTATTATATACGCGCGTAACGAAATATCGATTAGTACGACTGTACCTATTGTGGATTAACTTACGCTGTTTTTGGTAAATTATGGTTCCTTTATACTGTACGTATAATATCGTCCTAAACGGTTTAAACCGTAACAATCAATATTAACATTTTCACGCGTGCCTAGTGTGTCGAGTTTATGAACGGGAATTACGATATTGTGATTATTCAATAATACACAAATTATAATAACTACGTGTCAACTATATATAATATACAATATCACTATGACAATAAGATATAATACAATGATCACAATAGCCATACAAATCGACCAGAAACTACAAACTGTGTATTGCATAAACGTATACGTTTCTGGAAATTACGTTTAAAACGAAAAATTGACGTGTCCGTGTTTGAAAATTCAAGGTGAGGAGGAGAACAATATATTATTATTCAGTGTTCCTTTCAATGCGATTTTTCTTAAACCGTAGTCAAAAAACTACATCATTGATGAGGAAGGACAAGCGTAGGAGAGAGCGAAACTTTCCTATTGTTCTCCTTTTCAAATACACTCCGATTAAAGTGGAATGAAACTTACCTTCAGTGTAAAAATAACGTATAAGTGAATCAATTATTATTCCATTATATACAATATGATAGCTTGCAAAAATTAAAATTGAATGTAGACAAAAAATTGTATATAAAAAAAAAAAAAAAAAAAATGGCAAGAAAAACTGATGTCGGGGAGATGGATACACCACTGTTGTATGTAAGAAGTCGGGAAAGTATGATAAAAAAGATATTTAATTTATATCTGTGAGAAATTTTAAACCATTTCTAACGATATACGATTCAGAGCGAAGTTCGGTTACATATTTTTTGATGAACAACATGAATTTAAACATGTTATTTATGCAAAAACTATATTAGTCTCCAAATTTATGCATAGAGCCCAGATAGCATATCCGTAATAATATTATTATATTAATATCAATTTTTCATTAAAAAAATTATATTATTAAATATACATTGATGGTATACCAAAAAAATATTTTGTAAAATAATAATAATAATAATATATTATTATTATATTATTAATAACGAATTGTTGAAATAATATTTTGAATAAATTAATAATATGACGTCTCACTGATGAAATAATAAAATACAATTTTGAATATATAATTATAATACTATTGAAATTTAAATAATTATATTATGGTTCAAAAAAATTTTTTTCTTACAAAAAAAAAAAAATGTCAGAAAAATATAATTTTTAAAATATTTAATAAACAAAAAGCCATGCCAACCGTTTTTTTATAAATATTATTTAAAAGAAAAATATTGAAAAATAAAAAATTGTGTAAATCATTTCGTTATAAAAATAATATTTTATAAATCTTAATAAAATACATTTTTGCTTTCTGGGAAAAGACGGTATATTTACGATTTTTCACAAAATTTGATATTAAGACTTTTATAAAAACAAAGGAATAAATCATACTAATTTTTAATTTTTTACCGTTAAATACAACTTATAATAAACTTTCTGTTCAATTTTCCATAATTTTTGTGACAATTTTATCCATTAAGTACTCACCAATTAAAAGTTACGTAAAAAACTAGTAAAATTAATATGTCTATACATATTTCAAAAATAATTTAAATCTTTTATAAATTACACCATTCTAAAACGAGCAAATATAAGTTTTGTGACCAAATTTCAAGTCTATACATGTATTTTTTCCTAATTACGAGAATTCATTTTAGTTTATTAAAAGCATTAATTTCATACATTTTACTATTCTTTAACTTTGCTTGATTATCTAAAAAAACTACAAGAAAAATCAAAAAACGACTTTGTTACTCACCGACAACATTAATAATTTAACCAGAAAGGGTCATTTGTTTTTCTATTGGAACAATATTCCTGGTTGAAAAAATCGAACATATATGAAATAGTGTTCCATAGAATTTTTCATTTTGTATTTGCAATTTTTTACTGGTTTTCACAATTACTATGAAGACTTATCGGAAAATAAAAAAAACGACTTTTTTTTCGGCATCTAAATCCAAAACACAACGAAATCGGTTCTTAAGCATTTCTTGATTAAAACACATATTTTAAGTAGAAAACATAGTCTGTAAAAATTAAAAACAATGAAATCGGTAACGTCGCGTAAATATTTTCCGTTTTACTTATAGTTTCCGATTTTCCCCCATTGTTTTGAAAATTCCTTAGAAATCCAACAGATTATCTCCCCGTTGAATCGACCGATTTAATTTTTTTTTTTTTCAGTAAGGGCGCTCCGCTAGACGCACAGACGCGAATAAAAAAAACCACCAGCAGAACGTACAACAGTAGCCTGACACTTTTTTCAATAAATATTTTCGTGTGCCGACTTTCTCTGATCAACACGGCGAACGTTTCATGAACATTTAAAAGCCTGAAATGTTTTCGTATAGCGTTTGCGTTTCGATTCCGATAAACGCCGGGCGGGACGCGCGAAATCAAATTCCGCACGCAAATCGAGACCGTTTCGCGTGTCGCAGTCACAATGCGTTTCGGCGTTCGGCATTTGCGAAAACCGCGCGTTTTCGCAATACCGGCGCGGCGGATCCGTTACAATAACAACAACAACAACAACAACAACAACAACAACAACAATAATAATAATATGCTACAATCGAACGCGGGTCCGAATCGCGAGGACGGGGCGGCCGCTTCCAATAACGTTAGACGCGTACGCGCGGCGTCCTGGTTCGGCAATTTCACCGCTCTCGTGCGCCGGGGCACGGGCGCGGCGCCGTTATCGCGATCAAATTCGACGGGGCGCGCGCCACCGGTATTGCGACGGACGATAACGACAATAACAAAATTCTATTGACGGGAACGAACCCACGGCCCCCGGTCTCCGTGACGTACGACCGTGCGTGATGAACGAACCGCGCGCCGGGCGCGACGCAGGACCGGAGACCGCGTAAAATTACGCGAAACTGTGTGCGCCCGAGCGAGTAGAGACCGCCGCGTATTATTTCTACGTGAGATAAGGCGCATCCGGGTACCGAACGGGGAATGGCCGGCCGCGCGGTGATCGGGTAAAAAGTTTATTATTAACTTTCGATTTTTTTTTTTTTGTTTTTTATTAATTTTACTTTCGACTCGGTTTTTATTGGTGTTTACATTGACTAAACGAACAACGAGTCGACATCAAACCGTACTAGGTCGAAGTGGACCGTTTGTAATTCCGGGTTGAGTGTATAAATGTTCACGGACAACATTCGACGGTTCCGGATTAATATACCCTCGTGTTTAACATTGATCGACACAAAAAAAAAAAAAAAAAACCGTCTATGATCTAGATTAATGTTTCAAATAATGTACTGCGAAACATAAATTCCGCATTTTTAAATGTACGACATGAATAATTTGGATCATTGTTTCAGAACAATATACCGTGTTTTCCGAGAAAAAAAAAAATTATACGTCTTTGTATAAATATAATGGCTTTTTCGCAAAACTCAGAATTTACCAATTATTTTAAACCGATGACAAATCCCATTTGTATTTATTCGTCGTAACCCAGGTCCACGTTTCTATGCACTTGTTTTTTTTTTTTTTTTAAATTTTTTATTACGCATAAAGGGCCAAAACTTATACGTATGCATGTTAAATTCTGTATATTTTAATTAATTAGGCGTGTCGTAATTTTTTTTTCTATTCTGTGAAATAAAACTGAGTTGAACACAGCATGAGAAAGAACGCATAGATATATCATCATCCGGGTCCAAAGTAATAGAAAGTATGACTGAAAAATATATATACATAAATAAAAACTCGAACTATATCAATTTTACTTTACGATAAAAGTTTTTATTAAAACTACGTGTTTAGACTTTCAAAACATACAGTGACTGATTTGTATGTTTTTTTTGTTTTGTTTGTTTTTGTATCAATCGTTCTGTTATTGATTTTATTTATCTACGAAATTCTAAGTACTATCAATTTAATGGAATACATCTGTACTTATTATTATTTTCAATTCCGTGTAATTATGTTTCATACAGACATTTTAGATAAAACAATATTAGTGGGTATATTATCGTAGACTAACCAAAGGTGTAAGGCATGTTAATCAACTGTTTACATGAAGATTTCGTAATGAAAGAAAAAAAAATTAAAGAAAAAATTATTCTGAACGGAGTTCAGTTGATAATATTACTTTGTCAACAATAAAAATATGTCATACTATGGTAAAATGATAATTATAATGTGTGTTTCCATGACAATAGTGATTATTTAAAAAAGATTATCTACATAAATAAAACAAAGTCGGGTTGGTTACACCATTTACAACTCAAAAACTAAGTTTAGTTAGTTATTTTTTTTTTTTAATATAAATTAATTTTGTATTGTTTATTAAAATAAATAGGTAACTAAGATATTTATAACATTTTATTTTTGCTCAACTAACTATGCTAATAGTTATCAAAAACGTACCTTTATAAATAAATTTTTAAATTTTTTTCCACATACCTTTGACGAGTTCATTGTTATAATTTAATTTCTGCACAATCGTAAAATCCGATTTGTGTAAAAAAAAAAAATTGTTTTTTGATTGAATAATATGTAAATAATTTGTTTAAATGGAACTATTCAAACGAAATAAATAATCATTTTCTCTTTTTTTTTTTTTTAATTAAATTTTTAATTTTTATCGACAAAATAATATTTTAAGTATACATTTTCTATAGTATTTAGGCGATTTAATATTACATCGTAACGCGTAATGATACGCGTACATTGGTAAATAATAAAATTTAAAAAAATATATAAGTTCAAATATATTTGAATCCATTTCAATAAAATGTAAAAGAAGCCCCCTGTGATCGTATCACAATCCCAACTTGTAAGTATTTGATGAGCAATCGTTAAATATTTTCAAATCCATGATTAGTATAGAGAACACAATGACAAAATAAGCGTTTAGTTTATTACTAGAACTATCAGTCTGATTTATATTTTCCAAAAATATCGTACACCGTGTATTTTTTCTAATTAGTACTATTATTAAAACCGTTAAATTAAGGAATTTTGGTCTATTTAACGAAAACCGTTTTTAAACTACCTGTGTCTGTTCCTGATCCCCATAAATCTATAATCCTTAAGTTTAACGTGTATGACGGGAAAATTTTGATCGTGAATTGCGACCGGTAGATGTTTGGATGACAAACGACGAGGCACAGGCACGGGTGTACTTGATTCGGTATTTCTATATAACTCACAATGTTTCCGATTCGTCGGCAAGATCTTATTACGAATAACAAAATGTAACCGCCAAACGTGGCGATTTAAATTAACGGGACGGAAAATAAATAACAAAAGCGGAAACAATAATTGGAATATCCGCGTTTGTTTTGCGAAAACTATGTAATTTTTATCTCACAGTCGGATGTGCCAGATTTGAGATATTATCGGGCCCGTGATTGATTAGAAAGTTCAATTGATTACAAGACGTTGCGTTTGTAACGTAAAAGAATCGTTCGGAGTTCCCGTCAAAACGGTAATGACTTTCAATAATCAATCATACTTAACGGCCGTATAAATTATGATATTATTTTATTTTACTTTGCCGACGATTATGCTTTAAAGCATAACAAACCGTTGTATACCACTTTTTATTGGTGATTAACATGCGATTTTCGGGTTTGGTATCCGTCAGCGATAGGAGAGACGGGGAACCTAACGGCCAGTAAGTGTAGTAGATGGAAAGGAGGCGCGGGATCAATCAAATTAAATACTTATAAAAATGAAAAGAATAATTTGCAAAAAAACTGATGGTAGTACACGGTTGCAATTAGAAACTTAGTAAGATAACGATTGCCTAAGAAAATCAATTCAAAACGAAATTCGGTTGAACGTGTCTTGAAATTGTGCCTTAAAATTTAATTCAACATTTACGCTTAATCGATTATAATTAGTTTATAAAACGCTAGTAAAAGTATACGGTGAAAATAATTACTTTACTATTATTTTTAACCGAATTACACAGAAAAAACCAAATCGACAATAATTGAGAAATCGTTATTGCCGTTTATTTTCTTGTTCTTCCTTAGTTTTTACCAATTGTTTAGAAAACTACTTAAGGGAAATAAAAAAAATTATTCAATTATGGACCAATCAGTTGATATTTTTTACCCGCAACCAACACTAAAATTCACATTCAGAAAAAATGCCCATGTTATTGTTTAGTTACATTACATTCCCTGCGAGTACGTTTAGAATCTAAAATAATCCGGATTGTGGTTTCGGAACAAACTTTTTTCAAACCATAGTCACTATAATTTCATCGAGAGTATATTAAGCTGAAATCAAAGTATAATATCATGGATTTTTCGCAACTTGCACGTGTTTTATAATAGTGCGTATTATAATAAAACGTCACGTTTGTCGATTATTTATTTCTTCGGTTTTTCGAAAAGATAATAATTTATCGGCTCAAAGGCCCGGGTTGGCTTAATGTGTTGCAGGAAATATTTCGATTAAAATGTCATAATATTAGTAGTATATGTATATATTTATACACGAGGTATTAATTTAAGTGTTTTCGGCCGCCACAGGTAAGGTCAACGTGGTTGTTCTCGGTTGTTGTTTTTGACACGAGATCCCTATAAAGTTACCGTATAGAGCAAGTAATAATAAATGGCAAATTTTAGTTCCAGGTTTACATAACCCTTTCTTAACGAACCCACACCGTAGTATTATAGTCAGTTTTTGTAAAAATACTTTTCAAATTTCTTCGGAATACTTATGCGAATTTTATTCGAAAACTGTCTTTTAAAAGTATTTGACTATAAAGATAAACGCTTAATCAAAATATTCAAAATATTCTAAAAAATATATTATTTTATTTACAAATATGTTTTTGAATACTTTAAATATGCACGCCTTGAGATAATTATTCAACATTCGGAAAATTACAATTAAACATTTAAACATATTAATGGATATTTATAATTTAAATGAATTCATGAATTTCGGATCTTTTGCATTATAAGTATTATTTAACTTTACATTAGCAAATAAGCTTATTATGCTAGCCGAATAGATTACATATGATAGAGTCATAGTAACACATTTAGAATGAATCGTATTACAGATTCTAATAACAGACTGTTATAAAATATTATTTCATAAACAGTTATAATTTAAAATCATTGAATATATTACCATAATATAACAGTAACATAAATAAATATATATCTTGGTTTTATATTTTGGGTTAAATTTACGATAAACATATACTTTCTAAGTGTTTTAAACGTCTAAAATGTATTTTTAACAATATAATTTACTTAAAGACGCAATATTATCTCGATTATAACTCGTTATGATAATTCGATTTCTACGATTGGAGGGGATTATGGGATCTCAATGATGGTGGCGTCAACTGCCCGGAAAAAAAATATACAGTCATGGATGTATTTTATATATACACTGCAATCGTTCTTGTAAGAACATAAAAAAAAAAGTTTTTGGCGGGTAAATGAGACGAAAACGAAATTATTCATAAGGGTCTGCCTCCGCTAAGAGTTCTAAACTGCAATTATAACATTAAACTAAAACGGTAAAATTTAGTCGGTTTCTAAAGATTAAATGAAAAAAAAAACCTAAATGAACCCATTATGTGAGGCGTCGAAGACCTTTTATTTATAATTATATTTTATAAAAGGGGAAATCGTCTTCGTCCCACACCAAATGCGCATTCAATAAGGCGTTGCGTTTGAGTAAATTTGGCGAAATTTTTTAATACCGTTCAAAAAGAAATATGTATTCCCACAAACAAATTATTATTCACCCTCTAAAACTAGTATAAACGTTAACAAATTTTAACACAAATTTAAAGAGGACAATTTTTCGTAAAGTAATTTTCACAAATTATCTGTATCCCTATTTTCAAACGTGGACTATGGTCTAATACATTGGGTTCGTTCGAATATACTATTTTTGTAACTATGCAAACCCTTCAAATGGTAAATCGATTCCGTGAGTAGTATTTGTATTAGTATTAATCCTATTCCTTAGCCAAGATAACCCAGAAATCAGCTGAAAAACAAAATTTACGCATCTGTCATTAGTATTCGTTGGATATTTTATAGAATAACTGTTTTGAATCTATACGGTTTTTTTCTTATGTAAAATAAAGTACTACCACCCGGATGAAAAATCCGCATTTTTCGAGGTACACCACTAATAATCTGAAAACCAATCTAAAAAAAAAAAAAAAAAAACAAACTAAATACACAATCGTAGCGGAACTAATTTATCATGTTACTTGTTACATGGCTACTTTCAGAATAGTCAGAATCCATAAGTCGGTTGCCAAAAAATCGAGTTAGTCTATTTATCACATGCACGCACGTGCTCCCGAGTGCCGTTTAAAATCTAATTTAAAGACACGCGTCTCACTGTCGCGCGTATAATATTATTTACTTATTTAATTCGGAATGTTCTGTACGGAAACGCCTCGTGCGAACAGCGAGGAAAGTATTATAATATAAATTTATATATAATTGCATTTTCTTGTATTATAGTTTTGTTGTTATCCCATTTTGTGATGTCTCGCAAAGGCCCCGGGGGTACCGAAAGGACTGCAATCTCGGTCGCGGATTATCTCTGCCCGGCGATAGGTTACGTGCGGGGCCCAAGTCGTTCCGACGTCATCTCCACGGTAATAGTAATAATATTATCGCTTCCGCAGAGAGGTCCCCGGCGCGTTATTATCGCCGAGCGTACCTCAAAGTTACCTCGATATCGTTTCCGGTATCTTTTTTCAACGTGATATTTTAGCTATGCGGGTACACGCAAATATAATTAATCGTTTGTATCGATTTAATATTCAAACGCACCGGAGACGGTTGCGGTATAACGGGACACCCAACCGACCGACCCGTATGATACGATCGAATACGATTTACCGAATGAAAAAACACCGTCCGAACCGATATCGACGGGCTGGCGGTGCACCGGTGACGGTATTCCCGGTGGCGGGATATCCGGACGACAACCGTCGCCGTTCCGCGGCGGACGTATCAATCGGTTTCGCCGGGACATTTGCGCGTCAATTCCGTATGGACCGCGACCGGCGTTTGAATAACCGTAAACAGCGCTTTTGTGCGCGTGCGCGTCCTGTCGGTACGCAATAACCGTTGTCGTACGACGGCACACGGTGTGCGCACGGACAACCGTACACGGCGGCGCGGGAAATCGAACGCGGACCGTTCGGCCGCGTTCGCTTATTGCCGTCGCGCGGCCGTTATCGCCGCGGCGGTTACGTGGGGGACGGGTGGGGCGGGGGCGATACGGTCACGCGACACGGTGATGCCGCGGCGCGTTGTTAATGCCGGGGGAAAGCGCAAGCGGCCGCGCGGTGTGACTCGCCGGGCGCGCACCGGCGTACGTGCGCGGTGCGCCCGTACGCCCGATTATAGGCGATTTATTATTATGTAATGCGATTTTCTCCGGAACCCGGGCCGCCGTACCTGTGCCGCGCGGTATTAAAAACCCCCGGGCCCGCGGTTTTACCGCGTCGTCGATAAAATATAATCGCGGCCGTAAAACTCCGCGGGACGGGCGCGATCGTTTGTTCGCCGCCGCCGGTCTCGTAATTGCATTATCGGAAACGCGGACGAGCGGTTACCGCCGATAAGCCGAACCTCGCGCAACCCCCCTCCCCCCCCGGCTGCCGGTAACCGTGTTACCGCCGTACGACCGAACGGCCGCCGCGGAATTGACGGGCCGAACGAGCGCAATTATCGTTGTCGTGCCCGGCCACCGATTGCCGCCGTAAACCGCGTACAGGCAACGGCCGACCGACCGACCGACTCCCCCCCCCCCACACTCACCGAGCGTGAAGTTCTCGAGAGAGGCGATTAAAAACGCGCGGTCCTCGGGAAAGGACCTCGCGTCCGACGGTACGCCGATCGGAATCTCGCGAGAAACGCCCGGCCCGTCCGGTTGCCGCGCGTCCGATTACCCGTGACTCGTTTTCGGCGGCGTGTATTCAAGCCGGACGATCGGCGGGATATCCCCTTTACCTTTTCCCCGATATCTGTGCGAACAGCTCGACTGTCGATTTGTCGAATTAAACATCTTTTTGTTTTTTTTTTTCACTTTTTTTATTACGGAAAATCGAAAATTTGTCGTGTCCGCTTCCTTTATGTAGTCATTAACAACTTAATACAAAAAAAATACTACACGCATATTGCGTTCAAATCGAAATATCCCAACCGAAGGACCGAAACAAACTAATAATAATTAAATTATTACTGGTACGTATGTAGTTATTTGATTTCGATGACGAAAATAAAATGCGAATTACTTACAAGCATGCATAAATTAAAAATCGATGTTTTTTTTTTTTGTAATCTAGATTACATTGGTATTATACATTGACCCATCAACCAATTACAGTATTTTCGTCCTTCGGATTAATTCTAAATACGCCACCGATTTGAGTACACTTCTGTAGCGAATCTAATATCATCCTAATACCCGTATAGAACCCATGAGACGTTTCGAGATACGGATTCGAGAAAATTACTATACTTAGAGAAATTATTGTTTTCATAGAACTAGGTCTAGTATATTATATGAGTAAAATTTATAAAGCTTGCCATTCGAGAGAGTAAATTTTAAATGATTTATCCACGAGATATTATTTTATTCGTTGGTCGTAAATTATTTAATAATTATATGAGACAGATTTATATACATTTAAAATTTGCAACTAACCGTCTAAAACCATAAATAATAACCTTGAAAAATATTAAAAAGAAAAAAAAAAAATCGAAAATAATAGAGAGATCTAAAATGCCCACACTCTAATGGCTCTAAATTATTTAATACAATTTTCTAACATTTCAAAAATGATTAACGCAACGTAATTTGTTTTGTAATAGCTAGTACGTAACACCTACGTACCTAGCATAAATAATTATTATACAAAATTATATTACTAAAAAATTTGATTAAATATTTTCTCCGAAGAGAGCCTTTAAAAGAGGGGATTTTAAACCTTTTTACCATGTTTAAATTTTAAATACTTTTTAAAATCCTATTTGATATTACTTTTTTTTTTTTTTGAGTTTAATGGTATAATTAGTTTTTTAGTGATTAATATTAAAAGTGCATAGAAATGACAATGCAAAAATTAATCTGTTACAAACACGGTTTGTCAAAATATTTAAAAGTAAACATGTTACATTAATGTATAAATACAATACATATATCGTCTAAAACTATCGGATAAATAATATAACATGGCTGTGCCCACTTGCGTGTGGTAAACGTAATGACAGATGAGAAACATATTGATGGACTTCTATTAATATTTTCAGGGACTTAAAACTCTCTCCCATATTTAACCCATCGGCTCGCTCATTGTGACGTTGTAATATGCGTATTGCGTACGAAATAAAGCCATCATAACATCCCGCGATGCATGGCTATGCATTATACAGGTTTGATATACCGACTCGACGTATTCCGGTTGTGAACGTATTGCATTATTGTAATATATTCCCAATTTTTATTACAGAAATTTCATAGAAAGAGAACTCGGCCTGCATTGATTTTTATCGTCGTCCAAAGAAACAGTTTATAGAAGAAACGTTGATGCCTCCAAAATACGTGTCGCCACAATAAAAGAAAACTGTGATAACGACATTACTTTTATCAACGTTCATAACATCTAGCGGACAATTTCGGAGTTGAACATCTACCCTATGCTTACGATTTTGGGGACACCAACTGTAAACAGCGGAGATATGGAACGCCGCATCTTTGTCATTCTATAGATAGATATAATAATATGTACTCGATAAAATTAATGCCGGCGACGGTCCATCACACCTGCGTGTCACCGAGTTGCCATGGCGTACTTAACATATTACATTTAGTTTTGCGAAGACGTACGTTGCTACGTTATTTATCATATTTTCTTGCGCGGTAATATTTTATTATGACTACGACGACGTAAAAAAGAACATCATCGGAATATCAGATTACAATAATCGATCCGTTGGTCTTGTATTATTTTATTTCATCTTCTCTCGATTTACGTAACTTTTCGCGGTCCATGGTGTATGGTAATAAAATTAAATATTATTTGCATACGGACCGCTACATAAACTTCTGGTACCCGCTTGTTATACCTACATCAGCTGCCTTTGAATTAATGTGCACGCGAAAAATCAATATGTCGCGTGTTTATGATTATATCTTATTATTTTCGCAGTGGACTGATTATATACGAACAATACGATACACAATACCGACTCTCATTCGCTTATCAATTCATAACGTACGGTGGTCTCTGAAGAAATAAAAGGCCCGAATAGTCCTTATCTATTGTCCGCTTGCTGAGACAGTTTTAGTTCAAATTTTCCTCAAGATCACTGTAAGTTATATCAGCTACAATTTGACTATAACACGACTCAATGAAATAATATAATACAAACACAAAAACACACTCGAAAAATTTGTATAATCACACAACGTCAAATCAATAAAACCTGCAGCGCTAACTGCTAAGTGAGTACATTGTAATCTAAAACTGCCTCAATAATAGAGGACATCGTTTAGAAGGCAGGTGGGCAAGATCTTATGTTCTATTAGACCATGACGTATAACGACGAAGTTAATGGCGTGGAACTGATGTGACAAACCGATACATCCAATATTTTAAATTGAAAGACATCAGCTGACCTTGACATTAACCGAGTTCGTTTGAAATTATGAAATATTTTTTTTCCATGTTCTTAAGACGTTAGACTTATAAATCGATAATTTTCACCAGTGTTGTAAAAATATAATTTTAAAATATCCAAATAAGTGAAATAGATTGATGAAAATTGTTAATATAATTATTTAAACAATGATAAATATTCAGACAATTTTAATTTAGTAAAAAAAAAAAAATTAAAAAACTATTGTTTCTTTATTTATTATTTTAAAGTATTTAAACAAATATACCAGACTTGTTACGCATCTAGAATTTGCATAAGATTGTGTAATCTAATAAATAATATTTAATATAAATTATTTCTTATTCATTTAGTTAAGATAAAAACTAATCTATATAGATAATTAATTGTATAGATAAGAATATGTAATACTGAATTTTAGCGGTAAAATACGTTCATGTTTCTAGACATTTTTTTTTTTTTAATTTACGAACAACGCGATTGTTGTTTTTTCCATAATATGTTTGACATGAAAATATTATTTACTTGAAGATAATATTATAATATTATGACGTGTATAAACCATTTAGGTTAACTATTTGACTGCAACCGCCACGTACGAAAATTGTTTAGATAAAGTTATTTTTTTTTAAGGGGGGGGGGGGAGAAAAACATTTTAATTAAAAAATATACGCTTTGACGAATAAATTTCGACCTGTTTACGCGGCGGCGCGTATAGTCAAGGGTCGTTAGAAGTTTGTACCAGCGAGTCAAACAAACATTTCGAGAGTAACTAATTTTATTGAATTTGCTTAAAAGACGAATAAATACGAACCCTATTGACGCAAATACAGTATAACGTTTAAAAAAAAAATAAAAATATTTCGGTTGTGTAAAAAAAAAAGAACTGCAACGATAACATCGATGTATTCTCGTTATTTTTTTGTTTTAATTCTCATTACGACTCGGTATATTGACCGTCGCGGTCATTATGGTCGTGATTGACGTTTTAACGGCTTTTCGTGCGTCGGGTCTGTGCGCAAAAGTTAAATTTTCGAACAAATCGAAAATATTAAATCGCACCGAACACCGACACGTGTAATTCCGTTATTCGAGATTTTCGTGTGATTTCCGCGTCGAAAAAATTATAATAACATGCACCTGCGTATAATTACGTGCAGGTACTCGACATGTCGTTGTTATAAAACGGGCGGTTCGAATTTCAAAAACAACCGTTTGGTCACATTTGCACGCGCGTGAGACAACCGTTTTCCGTGCGTCGTGTTATGACGCGAGACGTGATGATATACGACCCAGTAATATAATTTGGTGTATTATATTTATTATGTTCTATCGGGAAACATGCGGAAACCCGAGATGTGCGGTTGGCATTTGTGAGGATTGTTTGTTATTCGCTAGAATTTCTCGAATAACTAACGAAAACGCCTACGGTAGTAGGAAATATTAAATATTTAAAATTTAAAATCCCGATTTTTTATACGCATAAACTCATCGGCCAAAGCGGACGGCTATTGGCGAGTATGAATCGCTCGGACCGTACTTTACAGTGTATCCGATCAAAGGTAAAACATCACGGGCGAAGAAAATATAACGGCGACCTTGAATATAAACTTTTACCATCGCGCATACGTTCAGTGTCCGGCGTTAACCGAGTTAACAGTCTGGTATTCTATTCTGAATTGCGAACGATGAGATCTGTCATAATATTTCACGGTAGTATCGGAGTTTTTAAAAAAAAAAAATAAAATTGTTTGTTGTTTTGAGCGTGTTTACTTTATTTATTTTTTTTTTTTTTTTGAACTTGTTCAATTCGTTTTAAACATTACTTTTGTCGTAATATATCATTTTATCGCAACTATTTTCTAAGGACAAAATAACGGTCGATAAAACGTCGCTTCTTTATCCGACATGAACAGGAACTGAACATTATTTTCGTTTACGTTTCAAGAACGAAAATGAAACGTAATGTCCACACCCGCGCAAACGTAATATAATTTATTTAGATTCGGGAACCTTACGGATACGATTCGTCAAACGTCGAGACTCGTTCGAAACGTTTCGAACGCGTGTTGGAGCGCATTCCGCGAAAACCTATTAAACGGCGAATGGTGGGTGGGTGGGGGGGGGAAATAAGACGAAAACGCACGGAGGACCGTCGGATACCGAGAACGCGGACGCGCTAAACCGACGGGCCCGGGGGCCGAGTGGACAGTGTGCCGGCCGCCGATTCCGCGAACGGCACAACAATATCGCACGTACCTACACGTAATATTTGAACGGGACACTGTCAGTCTCGCGGTGATGGATCTGGTCGCGGCCGTTAATACGTGAGCCGCGGGTAGCGGTGGGGGGTGGGTGGCTGGGGGTTTTAGGCGGCGGGCGACAGGGGGCGGCGGCCGGGAATGGGTTATCCGCCAGAGGTGGAGAGGTCGGGTTAATGGATTTTATACCGGTTGGCCTATGCGGCGGCGGCGGACAAAAGTCACGCGAACGGTTTGTTGGACGACGTATCACGTGATTACACGGCGAACCGACACTTTCGTTGATTAATAGCGGCCCGCGGCCCGGAATCAAGTTTGATTAACTTCCGTGACCGAGCACTTTGCTAACTTTGGAATCCGTTTCTCCGGCGGCGGCGGCGGCGGCGGCCACGGGACACGGTGACTCGGCGGCGGCGGCGGCGGCGACGCGAAATTAATGTAATAAATTTCGACATCGAGTTAAATTGATTTACGCGAGCCGCCGCTACTGCATTATTATTATCAACGATAATTACAACAATTTTACGTAACAATAATTTAATAAATAATATTTTAATTCGCGTGCATCGCGTATTTTGTACGGCGTAATATGTATCGTTAAACTGACCTATTGTTGTGATTGCCGATGCGGTCGTGGCGATTTTATTAATCATCATAAAAACTATAAAAAAAAAAAAATAAATAAATAAAAAAACGAAATCGCATAACGCGAGCGTGTATGTCTCAGATTCTGAGTGGAGCGAGGTATCTATGTGTATCACTATCATGTGTATTTTAATATTTTGTTTTTTCTTTTTTTTTGTTCGGATCAAATTCAAAAAACCAATAGCCTCGCGCTCTAAATACATGTAAACTTATCGAAATGTAGCAATTATGTTAGGAAGAAAAAATCGTAACCATTATGAATCGTGCGAAAACATGAGTCTACACCGCACACCTGTCCAAGAAGGCTGTGGGCCCGGTCTTATGAACGAATATCCCGTCTATAAGGTCAACGATTAACTCACGCACGTTGTAGAAAACGATTGAAACCCAGTTAAAGGGATTGTTCGGCACATATCTGTACAGGTGTTATTTCCGGTACGTCGTGACGCGTATAATAAAAAACAACGATACTAATAGTATCTCCACTCCGTTATTTATTCACTCCTTTGCTTATTATTATGGTTATTGTTTTTATTTTGATCATTAAGTGGGTTTCCGTAACGTAAAGATGTCAAGTTTTAGTTTATAATTAAATAAATTTGAATTATTTTAACACGCGATTCCCATATTATTATTGTTTTTGTTATTATAATACGGATATTAAACTCCACGTTAGCTATAATATAATTATAGCATAACTAATACGGTTTTAATAATTATTTCTATATTATAGTTCGTTTCGAGAGTACACACTCTATATAATTAAATTTCGAATTATTTATCCGGGGCCGTCGATTGGCATTAAATTCGTACCGATACTGAATTCGAATTATTACCGT